CACCATTCTCCTCCACTGGTATGGTTCACCATGGAGGTCTCGGGTTGCCATAGTCACAGTTAGTCAGTCTCCAGGTGCAAGCTACCCTTCCCCTGAGTTAAGTCGAGGCTTAGGGAGGAGGCACTGCCTGTTAGCACCTTCTTCTTTGTTAGGGACTCTCTTCACTCTCCTATGGGCTTCAATTGTCACTTCAGATCTTTCCTGGGTCCCCGGGACCCACTCTCCTGGTTCTTTTCTTCCTCATGTTGCTTTATTGCAGTGCCTGGACACTAAACCTCTCTTTCTGCTGCTCACCACTCCATCTTCCTGCAAGTCCTCTAATTCTTGTGACTATTTTGCAAGGACAGAACAACTTATAGTTATATTTCATATACAAAACCAACCATATATCAACATATAATTTAAAACTTGTTTTAAATATTTCACACTTTTTTTGTAACCTAGGGAGACAGTGAAATAGTACTGATGTCAATGGAGTAGGATATAACAGATGATGGAAGGAACAAGTCAGAAAGTAGTTCAGAAAGAAGGAATGAAGAAAGAGACAAAAGCAAATGAAAAAATGTGATAAGACTTTGGTGATGTTATTTTATATCTAGAATGGAAGGAGGGGAAGAGGATGTTTGAGAAGTTATTTGGATGAGCAGGAAAAATTGTGGGAAGTTGTATGAAGTTTTAACTGATTGAAACCAGTTAATATGTTAGTAGAAAGTTTGTGTTTGAATCTACATACATAATTTTTGGTGAGGTTTGACCTGATATGTCAATGAAAGATACTGTATAAACTACAGCAATAATTAATTCTTTTTTTGTTGTTGTTGTTTTTTTTGGTACCGGGGATCAAACTCGGGTCCTTGTGCTTGCGCGGCAAGCGTTGGAACAACTGAGCTAAATCCCCGGCAGCAATAATTAATTCTTATTCACCATTTCACATATGCAAAAACTGCACATAAATATTCTGAGAGAAAGAAAGAAAATAAAAATTAAAAATTAAAAACAAAAACATTGTACTGATAGTGTTTCTGTTATGTAAAAGCAGGAGGGAGTTGGGAAATTTGAGAGGATGTGAGAAGGAAAGTAAGTAGAGTAGTGGGGGAAGGAATAAGTGGAGCATGATGTAGGGCATAAAGATATTGTGTCTGATTTATGACCAAACCAAAAGTCTATTTTAGCTAACAGTGTGAAACACTCCTTGGTATGGGTAACCTAATGTGATTATAGAATTACATAAAGTGACACAAACATTAACTTAGTCCTACACTGTTACTAGCATACTGCCAAGCCCCTAGCACTTACTAAAAGCAATACCAATGAAAGAAAGAAAAGACGGAATAAAAATATATTGTTAGCTGAGCATGGTGGTATATGCCTGTTGTCCCAGCGTTCAGGAGATTAAGGCAGGAGGATCACTCTAAGTTCAAGGCAAGCCTAGATTAAATAGTGAATTCAGAGCCAGCCTGAGCTACATAGTGAGACTCTATCTCAGAAAATATGTGTGTCTGTATGTATGTGTGTGTTGACCAAATAAAGGGGGAGGAAGGGGGAATTTGAGAGGGTGAAGGTGTGAAACAGGAAGTTGAGGAGGGAGTTTAAATGCAGTGTGGTAGAAGGTATAGGAAGGTTGAAACCAATTTATGACTAATCTAATAGCTAACGTAGCTTAGTAAGAGCATTAATTCATATTCCTATACTCTTACTAACACACAAACACCCCTTCCCTATAGCTCTTTCAAAAAGCAATGGCAGATAAAAAGGAGAAAACAACTAAAGGAAAGAACCTCTTAATGTTATTTGTACTTTAGTTAGAATTTCATCAGTATGCTCCTACCTCTTAGTTCACAAATGGAGAGACCTTGGCTTGCAGCACTTGTAGGGAGCTCAGCTCTAGTTCTCTGTGGTTTTGACTGGTTTGATATGTCAACTGGTTTGAGCTGGTTTCTCACAAATGACTTCTTACCTGCCAGGAACAGGTGAGCCAGACACACCACTGAAGCTGATGCTTATTCCCCCTTTAGGCAAAATTCCGCTAGATTTCAACTGTGCTCCTATGGGTATAACAGCCAGAGGTTTTTTGCCTTTGCCTTACTTCCAGGCACTGTCAATTTTATCAGACTGGAAGAGAGTGCAGTGGGACTGGTCTAGTGACTAGTCTGCCACTGTTATACGAAAAGGTGTGTTACTTTTCTCATTACTGAGACAAAATACCCAACATCCAAAGATAAAATGGGAAGGTTTATTTAGCTCACAGTTTGTAGAGGCTTTAGTCCATAATTGGCTGGCTCCAAGGCAGAGTGGCATGACAGGTAGGCCTTGAAGAGGAGAAACAGTTCATGGTGGCCAGAAGATATCAAAAGCAACAAGGGAAACTTAAGAGTGTATTTCTGCCCCTTTTATCTTATCCAGACCACTGGGATTAGGGTGATGCCAAACCAATGAGTGTACTGGTTTAATAATCACATTCCCTTAATCCCAGCATCACAAGCTCTAGATTCAGTCACCCCTGAAAAACCCACCTATGACCACATGAGGCTTCGGGGGGACCTCAAAGCTACTGGGATTCTCTGAAGAACAAGCCACTGTGATCTGTGACCTTGAACACTGAGAAGTTCTCTCTGGTGAAAGCTTTGAGTGATACCCAGTGGCCATCAGGGCTGTTAAGCCCCTCAGCAGACATGTGTTGAATTCTTATGACAAGTAGGTCACTGTGAGACATGGTGACTCTCACTGTCTTGCCTGTTATGGTTTAGATTGAGAATGTCTTCCCAAAGGCCTCGTGTACTTATAGACAAGGATTTTGGAAGGTGATTTAATCATAGAGGAGATATGGCTGACTTGTTAGGAGCTGTGGTCTGACTGGAAAAAGCTACGTATTGGAGATGTGACCTGGAAGGGTATATCTCCTTGTTTGGGTTTTTCTTTCTTTCTCTGCTTCCTGGCCATGATGAGAGCACCTTTCCTCTTCAGCAGTCCATTCTACCATGCCATTTTCTGTGTTTGAGCATACCACCCATTAACTGAAACCTCTAAAGAACATGAGGCAAAACAGACCTCACCTCCTTTAAGTTGTGGGTGTTGGATATTGTGTCTTAGCTTTGAGAAAGTGACCAAAAAAGAGCCCATCCGACTTCTTTAATCCCTAATATCACTGGTTGTTTACCCTGTTCTTCTTTTCCCCACAAGGGGATTTGTGAGCCAGGGAGTTCCTTTGTGCTGGAAAACCTGCCAGATGGGATGATACAGGAACACTCTTATTTTTCTTTTTTTTGTGATTGTTCTCAGGTTTTTTCTTCCATTATATTGTCATGGATTCTTAGGTGAACTCCTAAATACTTCCAGGTTATTTTGGTTCATGGATAACTGTCAAATTTTTGCTTTTTGTGAGCAAAAGGAAGGCTGGCATCTCTTACTGTGCCATCTTGTTAATGTCTTCTACCCAAAAATAGATTTCTAATCATTTAATGCTTTTTGCTACTATTATAAATAGTATTTTTAAAAATTTCAACCTTGCATAATTTGGTATTATATAGAAATAAGTGGCCTTTTGTATGTTAACCTTGTAACCTGACATATTACTGAATTCACTAATTTTTATAGATTTCTTATGATTTATACCTATACAGTCATATCATCTCTGAATAAAGACAATTTTATTCTTTTCAATCTACATGTGATCTGTTTTGTTTTCTTTTCTTATTTAACTGGATGTTGCAGTACAGTGTTAACCAGACGTGATGAAAGCAGATATCTTTGTCTTCTTCCTAATTTTATGATCAAGCATTCAATATTTCTCTATTCAGAAAGAAACTAGCTTTATATTTTCATGGATACACTTTGTTACATTGGGGTAGTTTTTTTTTTTCTATTCCTAGTTTGTGCATAGATTTTATTATAAATGTGTTTTTTCAAGTCCTTTTTTGTTTATTGAAATGATCATATGGTTTTTCTCCTTTAATCAATGAATGTAGTGAAGTAGATAGGATAAATTCTTCATAATTATGGTGTATTATTCTTTTTAGGTTTTATTTTCTTGTTTTCTGAAGTCTATGAGTAACAACTCATCTTAATATTTTTGTCTATCCATTTTTTTTATGTCTATCCATTCTTATTGCCTGTTTTTTCTCTTGTGTTTTGTTGATGCTTTATGTTCTCATGCATTAGGTTATTTTGGTTGAATATTAAACAATATATAAGAAAAAATTTTAAGATTTAAATAAAACTACTTTGAAATACTTTTAAATTAACAGAAAAGTTAAAAATATGATCAAAACAAATATATAGCATTTACCCAGATTCACCTGTTAACATTTCATCATTTTTATTTTATCATTTGAGTGTCCTCTCCCTCCTCTCAACTCTATTCTCTTTCCCCATACACATATATACTCACATACATACATACACACACACTTATATTTTGTTTCCTCTGTATATATCTGTTGCACATATCTTGAATACCTCTAACTTAAAGCTCTGGATGATGATTTCTTCAGACATATTTTATTTTTTCAGATTTTCTAGCTGTTAATGGCATGGTATACTAAAACAATCTAATCTGTTATTGCTGGAAGTAAAATCTCTGATCTATCTCTTTGTGCCCCAGTACCAGTGTTTTATTTGCCAAACTCTGCTTTACTATTGTTACTATTGTCACTATTATCTCATTACCTTTCTGTTTCAGAATTTCTTTAATGTTCCTACTTACTTATTTTTTTCTAAATGAACTTTTCAATTAGTTTGTCCAATTGCCAAATAATTTCTTTTGAAATCTTTATTATTGAATGAATCAGTTTTAGAATAATTGGGATTATTTTGGTATTGCTGCCCAAGAATGGGTTCTATCCATTTTTTCCCTTGGTACTGGGGGTTGAATTTGGGACCTTGCATTTGCCAGGCAGGCACAGTGCCACTGAGCTAATCCTTGGCCCTGTTTTTCTATTATTCAGTACTTCTTTGGGGGCCTTTAGTAGCCTTTCTTTTTCATTTTTTTTCTCTTTCCACAGCAAGATGGATTCTGGATATACTCTGAGTATTGTAACAACCACCTGGACGCCTGCATGGAGCTTTCCAAGCTGATGAAGGACAGCCGCTACCAGCACTTCTTTGAGGCCTGTCGTCTCTTGCAGCAGATGATTGACATTGCCATTGATGGTTTCCTTCTGACTCCAGTGCAGAAGATCTGCAAATATCCCTTACAGTTGGCTGAGCTCCTCAAGTATACAGCCCAAGACCACAGGTAAGGGATGAAGGGAGGCAAGAGTGAGTTTCTTTTACATGTTGGTTCTTATTAAAAATGTATTTCTTTAACCAGGGATGTAGCTCAGTGGTGCTGAGCCTGCCTGGCAAGCACAAGGTCCTGAGTTCTATCTCCAGTACAGAAAAAAGAAAAAGAAAAAGAAAAGAATGTATTTCTTCTTGCCATTTCTGATCTTCTTTCAGCTTCTCTGCAAAATAGAATGATGTATTCTTGTTTACTTCACAAGACTGCCATGTATAAAGTGAAGGAATGCTTTTGAGAGTTGCATGTAAAGTTATAATCAGTATATACACAAAATCTCTATGCATCATCATTATTGTACAACTTGTTCAACTTATGCAACTTATTCACAACTACCTTCAAAGAGTGGAGCTTATATACAGAGTTCACCAAAAATATATATATATATCAGGAAAAGAAAACCTTGTATAAATATTTTAATACTAAATTTATTGAGGCATCATGAGATTAATACAAGTTATCTTTGGCCTCTACAATTACAAGAGGTGCTCAAAGTGATGTCCATTATCTTCCAGACATTTATTAGTACAGCAAACTGCTGAAGCATATATGCATTGTTTTGGCAGACTCTGTACATAACTCGTTCCTTAGTCCTGAACTTAGTCTCATGACTCAACCCTAATATAATAGGTGTTTAACTGTATATTCCACTTTTGTAAGATTCAAATGCTTTGGTAATAGCCTGCTCGGTTTGTACTGACCCTAGACTCCTCCAAGAAGTCTCCCTGGTTTCCTTTAACTTTTCCACCCTCTCTGTCCCATCCCAATTCCACATTTTCCATAGATCCAGAGTATGCCTGGGGAAAAATAAACCTGAGACTTCCCTGGAAGTTTTTTCATAGTTTTTAAGTAGTTTCACTAAGATCAATCCAACAAGGCCCAAGATTATCTCTTTGTGAATGGAAAAGATACTCCTCACCTCCTACCAGTAAGGTACATGCTGAAAGTAATCCGGAATAATGGGGATGGCTAACAGCAAACCATCTCCACTCTTTCACATAATGACTTAGAGCCCTAGCCTGTGTCTAGGCTGCTTTTAACTGATGTTAAATCCCTGACCTCAGATTTGTTGGCTCAGCTTTTAGCTCTCTTCCTTGGATTAAGCACTCAAGAAAAAAGAAGGCCTTTGCTCAGTTTCTTTCAGCTTTCGTCCTCTCTCTTATTAGCCCTGCTTCCTGCTTTTATTTGGCTCTGTTGGCAGGTTTACTTGGGGCTGATTTCCAAATTCAAGTGCTAAGGTAATGGTTATGGGCCAGATGTTTTGGTGTATTTCAAGCTTCTAGGCCAATATCTTGATTCATTTTGGAGTTGATGTTGCTGCTTTCATAAATTATGAGTCATGTGCTTTGGTGGCAAATTTCATATTTTAACCCAAATGTGTTACCAGTGAACTTTTTTGTATAATTAACAAGGTCAGTGATAGATTTGCTGGCTATGAGGGAGGCAGGTGTAACAGAACTTTGCAAAGGATATCTCTGTTTCCCTCTCCTCTGAGGCAGTTTATTAGGCAGGAATCAGTGTGTGTACTTAGTAGATGTAAAATTAGAAGTCTACTAAACCCCACTTGAACAGACTTAGTATAGCTCATTGCCAGAACTGTGTTACACATTTTCTATGGATATATGTTGTTTTTGTTTGTATTTGTGATACTAGGGGTTGAATCAATGACTTTGTGATGTGTTTTTTTATATGAAGGCTAGAAGAACATTGAAGAACCCTCACTAAAATTAAGTTATTTGAAAATTAAAAATAGAAAATATGTATGCTACCTAGAATAGAAAAGCTATTTTTTAGTCAATTTCCTTATCCTCTAGCTGAAAACATTTAGGCCCAGAAGGGAAAAATGACAGAGTAAATGGCAGGGTCATCAAACATAAGCAATAATCTGATAATATAGCTTTTAAAATAGTTCTGTAAGTAATTTTTGTGCCCAGAGAAGTTTGTGAGTGATTATACCTGCCATTCTTTGAGTTCTGGTGCATCTAAATGACATCCATAATTGTACTGAGTGGTGCTTAGTGACTACAAATAGTGACTATCATACTGGAATGTCAGTGGAACTGTCTTTAGGCCAGTAGTTTTAAAACCTGGATAGAGTAATTCTCAATTTTTTTTATATCACAGTTTCTTACTGACCTACTTGTATTCCATGGAAACCAAGAGGAGGGTCTAACAGTCATACTTGACAGATAATATTCACTAAGTAAACTATATATTGCATAATTGATCTTATGAGTCACAGAAAGACCATTTTTAAACATCTGTTTACATCAAAACAACCTCAAGGCTTTGTTGGGTTTGATAGAAGTAGACAAGATAGCTGCCTAGCCTTTGCCATTTCTGTGCTCTTTTAATTTTTGACTGCCTCAAAGACCTCTTGAGTACTTGATTTCTCTCCTCTCATCTCCCGGGCTCCAGAGTACAGAGAATTGTAACTAAGCCAGTGGCAGGCTGTATCCACCTCTATCCTCCTTTGCAATGATCTCCTGGGCCCAGTACTATCCCTAGGACTTGGCCAAATCATTTTTAGAGGTCACAGGAAGCTATGTTAAGATGACAACTCCTGCCATACATATTAATAGTTTCTTGGATTTGACAGCAATTAGAGGCTAATGCCAGCTTGGAGGCTTAGTCAGATACCTGTTCAGATAGATAGGTCTGAAATGAAGGTAGTCAGAATGACCTCTGAGGAAGAGGATTAGATGGAATGTGATTAATGGAAAATAGTATTCCTTTTGTTTATAGAAGAGTGACATAATTCCTCTACCCTACCTTCTTTAAACTGATAAAGATTTTATACAAATAGGGTTAGCTGACATGTCTGGATCCTGAAACTCTTGGTTCCAATATTCTCCTCAATCAGAGTTGGGGCCCAGAACCCAGCGGCTCTGTACAACAAGTATTCGCCTCTTTTTATATCCACTAGCTTGAAAGCTAGTAGGACAGGTTAGAATCAGAAACATTCCTCCACTAACCATCATAAGACAGGCAGCCAGATAAAAATACAAATATATGCTGGTGGAGGGAACATAGCACTACACTGAGCGCTGAGCAGCGGGCACTGGCTGCTTCGAGCTGCAGGGCGGGGATGAGGGGCAAGGGGCAGGGTTGACACAGTGAGACATTCCAGGAACAGACGTCTTCAGATTTGAGTGTGAGCACTGCACACTGGAGCTAACAGAGTGTGCTGTTCTAGAGAGACAGGCAACAAGGCCTGGGGCCAGATCCACAGAGGAAAGGTGGAAAAGCCACATCAACTGTCATCAGCTCTGTGGCTGCAGCAGCTCCTGTTGAGAAGAGAGGGGTACTCAGGGGCCCTATGTTCCCTTTCTTCTCAGCTTGATTCAGATGCAGCAAAAGGGAGGTCAGAGATGGACTGCTGGTGCAATAGACCCAAGAACCCATATAGCATCCAATGCCCGGCAGAGGATGATGTAGCAGTGGAGTGGGTCAGACACCTGCCCTGTGTGGGAGCGTGGCAGCCTTTGCTGGAGAGGCTGCTTACCAGAGGGGTTGCTGTGTGCTCCGGAGTGTGTGTGGGGAGTTCTCTCAGCCAGCCCCTGTCTTCCTGTAATAGTGCTGCAAATGACCACTTCTCTTTAAGAGGCACAGCTGGCTGGGTAAGAAGGAAAATCTGCAGCCGTTCCGGTGAGTAATGAGTGCAGTTACTTTAAATATTTTGGAACAATTCATATCTGATCTGAATTTTTAAATTATCACCTCTGCACCTTCTTATTCCTATGACCTTTTCAAAATATCTTTCTAGAAATTCACTTGGCCATCGTATAAAACTTACCAAAGTGAAGAATAATTATTCTAGTTCATTTAAAAAAAAAAACCTTAATTTTCTGTTACTGTAAAAGAAACTTAGTTTGCTGACCATGAAATAGACTATGTCCTCACATCTAGAGTAGAGTAAAAGACTCTGAGTATGAAAAGGCAGGAACTGATCTAGTAAAGCCAACTACTGTAGCATTTCATGTGTCCTTCATCCTGAGAACAGGAGGGAGCTTTCCCCAGGCATTGGGAAGACTTCAGACTTGACTTTTGATAAAACTGTGATCCTAACCATCGAGTGACATAAGTTTGTCTCTGTTCTTTTACAAATACAAGTCAGTTGTTTGTGCGAGAGAGTCTGCCAGCTGCCCTGGTGAGACAGGTGGCACAGCACTGCTAAGGACCAGGTCAGAGCTGTTAGCTCCCTCTCTGCCCACTATGAAAAGGTCAGTGGGTGCCTCAAAAGCTTGTAAGATTTTTAACTTTTATTTGATGTTTTTCACAAAATTGAAGTTTTCCGTTGTTTTTAATCTTTGCTGTTAAGCTTCAGGAAGAGGACGCACCCTCCCTGGGGCTCCACTGGCCAGGCATTTGCTTTCCCTTCTGTGTAAATAAGCCTTCAAAGCTGAAGTCACAGCCTTTCCCTCAGGTTCCCACCTCTTAGAGCATTCCCCTATCTCAAGCTCTCTTCTCCTTGTTTACACCTGTGGGCGCTTTACCTCATTCTCTTCCCAGGGCTTCAGAGAAAATGACACAATACAAAGTCAGTTCTGTTCTGGTGTGTACCCAGGATCATGTGGAAATTAGCCCCATCTCGGGGAAACTAAGCTTTAAATGGCTGATTCTCAATTCCATGCACAAAATATTTAGCCCAGCCCCCCAAACCAGAGAAAACTGGCCCCTAATCTTACCATGTTCCAGACTCCTCTTGGGAAGAAGCCTGTAGGGAGCTGCTTGAGGTCACATGTGGGGTTTGCCTTGGTGGCAGGATTCCAGTCAAGAGCCTGATCCTCATGTCTGTTACCTACAAAACAGACCAAGAATGTTGCTGCCCCTGTAGCCCTTCTCTAAACACCCGCAATTCACGTTTTCTTTGTTTTAAATTCAACCTCTTCCCAAAAGTGAGAGAGAAAACTCCTGGTAGACTTGTGTCGAGATGCTTCCACTAGCACCTCCACACACCTAGGCTCCATCTGCCCCAGCCACTGGGCCAGAAAGGGACTCTACCCTCCTCCATTCCCATAGTGGGAAAAAGTAAAAATAAAATAAAAAAAGAAATTTACCTCAGTTGACAGATTTTACCTTTAGGGTTTCTTCAACTTGTGAGTCTTACCTGTTGAGTGTAACTTTCGTAGTGTCTTGCTTTTCTGAGCAAGCTAGCAAGGCATGACAGAGCAGAAGGATGTCAGTGTTACTGTGATGGACCTCTCCTAACATGTTGCAGTTTTATTTTTAACAAATTGGTAAGTGATATGAATGTAAAGGTAATTGTGCACATTTTAAACATGACAATGAAAATTTTAAATGTAGCTTCCATACTTGTGCATAATTCCAAAGTATTTTATTTCTATCAGTGTTAAATAGCTTTTTGTACAGGATTCAATCCATTTTTCTGAAATGTGCTGTTTTTTTTAATGAAAGTAACTATAATCTTTTCACATCCCATGTAACTGCTGTTTACACACTGCAACTTTTTAAACTTAACCATATTTTTCAGAATTAACTTTTTTGGAAGGAGGAAATTCCCCACTTACTAAATGATACTAAACTGTCGTTTGGGCTCTTATAATTAGGTCCTCAGATTTTATAAAAGTATGGTCTGTAGCTTTCAAGGTTCTTCACTAAAGTTGGTTGTACATAAAGAATATAAAGTGACACCCAAATTCTTTTAAATGTCTGGGTTTTCCACTAGTGATACAGTGTGGTGAGTATTTTGTTCATGCATACTTTAGCCATTAAATTGGACACATTTTGAGCTTCTCTTTGTTAATGTTTGTTTTTTTTTTCCTGTGCTTGGGGAAAGAGGATATTTTAATATAATTTTTGCCTAAATCAAACAGCCCTCTCTAAATATTAATTTTTAAATGTCAAACTTTGGTGAGCCATCTATTTGGGAATTGAGATTACAATATGCCTAATTTTCAGTGGTGGCTAAAAACAGAAAATTATGTTACTATTAAAGCTTTATTAAGAGAAATTGATAAGGACTTTCTATTTTTGATCAGTTGAATAGATACTAATGTCAATATATGGGAAATTTTTCTTAAAACTTGTTCATGTATTATTTTGATCCATTTTCTATGGCATTTGGTGCAGTAAACCTTTGTAATTTATCTTGAAAAAATACAAATATAGATAGTACAAGACAGTGGCATCATGGCTGGCTAGTAATTGTGGTCAGGCAGAACATTGACTTGGAGTCAGCTGGTACTTGGCATCAGTAATGAACATTCTCATCTAAACACTGTCCGATAGAACTTTCTGCAGTGATATAAATATTGTGCTGTCAGTATAGTAGTCACTGACCACATGTAGCTGTTGATAACTGAGAAATGTGCAATTGAGAGTCTAAATTTTTAATCCTATTTAATTTTAATTAAATATGATTACTGGTTACTATATTGGACAGTGTGTCTCTATGCTTTACTTCAGAAAGTGGCTTAAAGCACTGATATCTTCAAATTAGATAAAGGAAAGGCCCAGGGAACAAGAAACTTGCCCCAAAGCGTAGGAGTACTAATTTACATCAGCAGCTTCATAGCAACTAACCGTGCTGTCATTGCCCTGCCCTGTGTATAAATGGTAGACTTATAAAACCTTGCCAGGGAGAAACTTTGACAATGTTATAGAGCCTAAAAGATCACCCACCGAGTAGGACAAGTAACTATAAAAAGGATGAAATGTTAAAGAAACAAATGTAAAATTTTGCAGTTGGACTAAAAAATCAATACCTCAGAGATAGGCCAAGGGAGATATAGCTTATAGACAGCATGCTTTCAAAAGACTTAGGAAATATTAGTCATAAGCTCAGTATACGCTAGTAAGATCCAAAAGAAAAACTGATAAGGCTCATAATGAAGACTTTTTTACCAGGCATAGTAGTGCATGCCTGTAATTCCAGCAGGAACTGAGGCAGGAGGATCACCATGAGTTCGAGACCAGCCTAGGCTACATAGGCAGACCTTGTCCCAAAAAAGAAAAAAAAAAAAAGTCTTTTCTAATAGCTTTGTTGAGACAGAATAAACTGGTTAGGAAGTGTGGCCTGACACTGGAGATGATAAAATTCATGGTACTGGCAAGTATGCAGGGCACAGATTGAAATCATGGAAGCCAAATGAGAAAAGATGCTATATAATATGTGCTGTGGCCGTTCGAAACCTCTTCCTTGTGCCCATGTTTGGTCCACCATGCCAATCTCCAATATATTCAGGGGGGAAAAGGCAGTAGCTGTGCATCTTCTTTTCCTTCCTTTGTTTTTCTAGTTGGTGCTGGGAGAGTGAACAGGTTAATGACCTCAAGACATTTTCACCTTCTCTAAGGAAAAATATCAATACTAAACTGTAAAATGCCTTCTTGCCTTCTCAGTTTATTGTAACTCCATTCAATGGTAGAGATATCACTTTCAATCTGCCTTGCACTGGAGGCTCTGAGATGGAGATAAGATCAGACAAGCAGACAAAACTGAGCAGGGTGTAACCCTTAGCACATGGTTATATGGTGTACCAAGAAGCTAGATGGAAAGTTGTACTTCTGGGGCTAGGTTTGAGAAGGCATCCCATGTGATGTCTCTGATACAGAGATGTTTGATTTGTAGTAATAATACTTATAACACTTATGATGGGCCAAGAGAAAAACAGTTTACATAAATGATTATAGAGATGGGGATTTAGCTCAGTGGTGCCATGGCCTGCCTCCCAAGCGGAAGGTCCCAAGTTCAATGATCCCTGATACCAAAAACAAACAAAAAACCCATAAATGATTATATTCAGCTTATTAAACTCAATAAAGACTACCGTAATTCTCCCCACTTTACAAATGTGAAAAAATTTTAAAGTGATTTTAAATTTTTATTTCTGCAGTACATAATGATTACATTCATTGTAGGAAAAGTTGGTACATGTACATAACACATCATACTCCTTTTTTCAACTCCTTCCTCTCCCCACCAACCCCCCTTCCTCCATCTCTTAGTCCCTTTTCATTTTGCAATCTCCCTGTTTCCAATTATCTATCTTTTATTTTGCTCTTTAATTTATTTGTATTTTGGATCTCTTATATAAGAGAAACCACGTAATAATTAAGCTGACATGTCTGATTTATTTGACTCAATATTATGGTCTTAAAATACATCCTTTTTCCTAAAAATTACTCAAATTTACCCTTCTTTATGGCAGAGTAGTACTTCATTGCATATAAATAAAACTGAGTCAAGATGGGGAATGAGTAAAACTTCCCAAAGTTTATCTCACATTAGTCAGTTACAAAACTGGGGTTTGAACTCATGGATTCTGGCTTCAGATTCTATGTTAATAACCACTAATGCTGCATCCCATCTTGATATTGTTCAGAAGCAAAAGTGGTATTTTTATTCCACAGTGACTTTGGGAAAGCTCTCCCTAGAAATAGATGTAGAAGAGATGGTCAAATTGTCTGGGTTGTTTCTTGTGTGAAGTCCCCTTCTTGGTCCTTGCTCAGTTTTATCAAATAGGTGATAATACATAATGGTGTAAAAAAGAAAGGAGTATATTTCCCATGGGGAAAAGTCTGCACATAGAAGGCCTATGGTTTAGGTATGGTGGTTCCATGGTCATTAAAGACTAAGGCTATCCTACCCCTAGAGTATGGACCTTGTCTCTTTGGTCCAAGATGGCTACTATCTTCAGCTATCTATGCACATTTCAAGCATCAAAATTGAGTAAGGACTAAAGAAATGTGTGCTTTCTTCTTTAAAAGAGATTTCTCAGAAGCCCCTCCCCCAGTATCTGTTTATATTTATATATCAGTGGACAGAATTTAGTTACATACTCATCCCTGCTGAAATAAAAGATAGGAAATGTAGTCTTCTACTCTAGGTGGCATGTGTTCCCATCTGAAACCAGTACTCTTTTTTTTTTTTTTTCATACCAGGGATCAAACTCGGGTCCTTGCACTTACGAGGCAGGTGGTGAAACCACTGAGCTAGATCCCCCGCCCTGAAACCAGTACTCTTACTAAGTAGGAAGAGGAAGTGGATATTAGGATTAGAATCCAACATAGTAGTTCCTTGGCATATTGGTTCATCCACCTTGCACTCTTATGTCTTCACAGTGACTACAGATATGTGGCAGCTGCTTTGGCTGTCATGAGAAATGTGACTCAACAGATCAACGAACGCAAGCGACGTTTGGAGAATATTGACAAGATTGCCCAGTGGCAGGCCTCTGTTCTAGACTGGGAGGTAGGATGCTTATGAACAGGGGTGTTGGGAAGTCCAAGCAGCTTGGTGAAAGCTTTTTGTGTTAACCAAGCATAGTCAAAGAAGAATTAGATTTGAAGAAAGATTTAAATTAGACTTGAGACAAAACTTCCTGCTAAAGACAGATATTGGGTACTTAATAGCTTCCTAGGAATAATTGAGAAATCTTTGTGGCAAAAATTCATTAAGAAAGGAAAGATTCATCTCTTTTGGTGTTGCTAGGAAACAATTTGGTTGACTCAGTTATCTTTCAAAGCTCTTGGAAGTACTGGATTTATGACAAGATCCACACAGGTAAGAAGTAGTATGTGTTAATATACTTGGAAACATACTCTGGGATTGGTTCTCTTGTATTTAATATGCAGGATAGCCAATATAACTTTCCCATTGGTGAAATCATCTCATTCCCACACATCTACTAGGTCTATCCAAGCCTGAACACTATAGGTCATGACTATTATCCCAAGCAAATCCACAGACCCCATTCTAATTGTAGTGTAATCTTTTAAAAATACAGTGGTACCCTGGTTCATAAACTTGGTTCATAAATTTTTCCACAATTCTGGTCACAAACTAAATTGGATGAGAACTGAAGCAAACTCAATGCTTGGGTTTAATGTTGACCTTATGGGAAAATTTGATTTGGTTCTCGTCCAATTCAGCTTGCAAAGAGAATCATGGAAAGAATTAAATTCATGAACCAAGTTGCCACTGTAATCCCTGACATCCCTCTATTCCACTGCAGACATTCATGACTTCTCTGAACTTAGAAAGTGTGTGGCTGAAGTCACTCAAACCTTTTTTCTTAGATTCCCATCACGTGAACCTGGAGTAATGGCATTTTATATTTATCTCGCAGGCCCAACTTATGTAAATATGATAGTCCACGGGCTAATTATAACCAAGATGGAAGAAGCTGGATATGCTGCTAGGAAGTAGGCAGCAATCTTAGGCTTTGTGATCACAATGTAGAGATAGAGTGAACTCCTCACTGCATTGGCCTCAACTCAGGTGAACTTTATGTGATTAAGACATAGGAGGACTGCAAGTTTGAGCTTGGCTTGGATAAGTTAGAAAATTAGTGTGACTTTGTCTCAAAATAAATGAAAAAGAAAAGACTGGGGATGTATCTCAGTGCAAAGGCCATAAGCTCAAACCCTGGGGGAAGAGGGGAAGAAGAAGGAGGAGGAGGAGGCTGAAAAAGACCACAGTTCTGATCAGATGCTCCATTTTGGGGTCCTATTTGAAGGATAGTATCCCCATAAAAGAGTGGAACAGTAGTGATTCTCTGAAATGCAGAAAAATGAATGAATCTATGTAAACAGATCTTCTTGCTCATAAGAGAAAGCTGTCACTGGACCAGACTTACTAGAAAATCATGGATTCTCCCCCCTTTGTGTCTTCTTTGCTTTATCCACTTGCCTGGTCAGAGTTAGAAGACTGGACCAAATGATTTCTAACAAGCCCATCAACTCTGAGGCACTTTGAAATTATGGTTGCTTAGTTGGCCTGTTTTTCCTCTTTGGCAGATTTCTGTGTAAGAGAAGATAGCCAGAAGGAATTTAGCAGTTGTCTTTTAATTCCCTGGAACATCTCTCTCCTTACCAATACCTAGAAGATCCTCTAATTCTTCCACATGTTCTGGGCCTCCAGGCCTCCAGTCCCTGAAGCAGAGGGCATAGGATAACAAGAATACTTTGAAATCCCCTGGCTTACCCAGTTAGCTTCATTAAAACAAGCTCGTAGCACCGAATTATGATTTGAAGACTCAGCATCTCAACAGGCTTTTCCTATATATTTCTCAGAGGAGGCCAAAGGGGAATTCTAACATTTTCTTTATTAGTGTGATTGATTGATCCCCTAATCTCATCCAAGCCTGCTCACCCTTTCCTGTTTACAGAAGCTCTTCTTCATCTAAATTGATGTCATTGTTCATCCAGGCTGCTACAACAGTACCATAGATTAGGAGGCTTATAAACAACCTAAATTTATTTATTATAGTGCTGGAGGCCTCCCAAAGGCCTCACTTTCAAATACTTTGCATTGGTGATTACAGTTCAATATATGAATTTTGGGAGAACACAAACATTGTCTATAATAAATCAGTAAGAAAAAAATCCCCAGGGCCCAGGATTTAGCTCAGTGGTTCCGCTGCCTGCCTCGCAAGCGCAAGGTCCCGAGTTCGATCTCTGGTACCCCCCCAAAAAAATATCCCCAGTGGTCCCTTTTTCAGACTCTGAAGTCATTGTGGACCTTGATAGCTCTAGAGGGGTTGCCATCTAGGAAATTTTTCCTCTTGTAAGACTGTATGGGTACATTTCAGAGGTCAGGGTTTTTAAAATATCTGTCATGTATGTCATATCTTTTCTTAAAAACTTCCAGACTGTCAGAATAACGAGCACTCTTAGAGGATGCTCCCTGTAACCCTGACTGTGGTTGTGTGCACATACACAGTCATAAACACATTCTCACTCACCCTCATACATCTTGTATATTAGTCAGCTTTCCCATTGCTGAGACATAATACTCAACATCAACAACTTAAAGGAGGAAAAGTTTAATGGCTTGAGGTTTCGGGGATTCAGTCCATGATCAGCTAACTCCAAGTCAAAAACGTCATGGAGGAAGGGCATGGCAGAGCAAAGATCCTTAGTTCCTGGTGACTGGGAAGCAGAGCAGGGGAATGGTGCAGGAGAGGAAGGGATGAGGGATCAATATATAGTACTTAAGGTCATGCCTCCATGACACATCCAGACACACCCAAAAGTGTGCCTTACTAATTCTCTAGGCAGCTTTCAAGTGAGTCAAGTAGAGAGAGTTAATCTTAACCCTCATACCCTGTAATGATGGTAGGAGACTAGAAGCAGATAGAGGCCTATTCCTGACCAAGGCTACAGCAAATAAGCTGGAACTTGAATCCAGTCTCTTGATTCCATATATAGCATTCCTTTAACTACTGTACCACATAGTCTTTCAACATTCTGCTTCTTGAAACCCAGTTGATGGTTTTTGTGATATTTTAGTGACTTGTTTCTGCAGTAAAGACAGTGAGAATATCTCGGAGAGGGAGAGAACCAAATCCCATTCAGGTGGATCAGTGCTGAGGAGTCTGTAACGGAAAGCCATAGGTCATGGATATCCCATGGCTTGTTGACTCAAGAGATATGTGAAATAACCTGGTTTCACATGGTTATATAACTGGTTATATAACTGGTTTCCTGGTATAGGTTCTGTGTACATTCTACTTGTCTAAGAAGTTGAACAGTGAGAGAAAAAGGGAAGGGGAGGTGGAGTGGAAGAGGGAAAGGGAGGGAAGGAGGGAGGCAGGGAAGGAAGAAAGAAAGGAGACAGGGTGGAGGAAGAGAGAGAAAGAGAGCACAAGCAGATTGATGAGTGTTGCTGTAGACAAGCTTTACAAATCAAGCAGAAGCAGTGCTTTGCTGTCTCTGCCACCTCCTTGCCTCCCAGATGTTTGAACAAAAGAGATGGTTGCCAAAAGCATCCACATAGTAATTTCAGTTTTGTTTATCAGATGAAAAACTGGGATCATAGGAGAAATCTTTAGAGCTTAATCTCCCTTGAAGAAAAAATTGGAGGAGGGCTGGGGATTTAGCTCAGTGGTTCTGCCGCCTGCCCTGAAAGCACAAGGACCGGAGATCAATCCCTGGTACCAAAAAAATAAATAAATAAATTAGAGGAATGGTGACAATTGAGCAATTGATGCCTACTCAGTAAATCAGAGCATCTAACTGGAGAGCCGGAAACCTCATGTGACATCAAGGCCTGTCTCTTTTCCCTAGCCTTTCTTCATGAATTTTCTAGTCTCTTTGCCCAACTTCAGTTACCCTCCCTGCCTCCTGCCATCCTATGGGGACCAGAATTATTGAGATAACCCTCCCTTTGCCCCACACTCCAGAACTCCTGAAAAATGAACAAATGAATTAGAGCATCACTCATCCCACTAATAAAACATTATAGGAGATTAGAAAGGAGCAGGGAGAAGAACCTATTCCCAGAAACTACAGTTTATGGAAAATTTCCATTTCTAATTTCTCTCATGCTGAGATTTGGTTGAGCTATCACCTTGTTACCTTTCACACTCATCAAATCAACTGGGAAGGAAAGGTAAGGAAAAGAAAGGAAAGGAAAATATCACTGACAGCCTATTTTTCACCTTTTTTCCCTGGAGACGTTTGGCAGGAGCCCAAATTTATAGCTCACATTGAGGATCTTCATTGTGTATGGTTATAATTTTCTCCTTCCTAGTTTGGTTATGTAATACTCAAGGACCTTTTCCAGTTTTCCACTAGATGATTGAATCAAAAGAACTTGGAGTAAACACAAAAAGCCTACATGATAGAGGCAGCCAAACATCTTTTTTAAAACTAAAGTGACTTGATAAAGCATACTCCTGGGACCAGGAGATCAAATGTGAGGCTGCATGGATTTGTTATTTCTCTGCACATGGGAGATAAACTAGATGAAAAATATGACATTTCCCTTGTTCTTTCGCTGGATCTCCTTGAGCCATAGCTCCACATCAGTCAGACTGTAATTAGAATGGAGTAAAGTAGGACAGAATGTGGTGAATTTGAATTAATCATAATGGGGTAAAGCCTCTTCTTTGAGGCTATGGCCTCAGAGAAGGCAGATGATTGACCTGGTAAGAAAGTGCTAGACAGTGGTTTAAAAATAAAAATTAAGGGCTGGGGATTGAGCTCAGTGGTTCTGCCTCCTTCCCTGCAAGTGCAAGGACCCGAGTTCAATCCCTGGTACCAATAAATAAATGAATAAATAAATTAATTAATTTTTAAAATTAAAAGCTCTATGTAGTTTTTGGTGACACTATTCATTCAATATCCATTGATGCATGTATTAATTAGACATTTATTGAGTATTGTCTTAGTCATTTTCTCATCTCAGGGACAAAATACTCAACATTCATGACTTAAAACAGGAGAGATTTATTTTGGTTCACTGTTTTAGTCCATGCCTGGCTGGTTCCAAGGCAGGAACAGAATAGCAGAGGGGTATGGCAGAGGAAAAGGTTCTCAACCCATGACATCTAGGAAGCAGAGAGAAGGGAAAATCTGGGGACAAGAATGCTGTACACCCTTCCAGATCATACCTTCAGTGACAAACCTCCTACCAGCCTCACCTCTAATAACACATTTAGGTAATGTACTCATCTGGATAAATCTAGTGATGACTATAGCACCCCCATGATCCAATCACCTTCCAAACACATGAAAATTTTGTAGAGCATTTTAGACTATTAGAAGCACCTACTCTGTTGGACTTCGTTATGGGTTCTGGAAGTATTTCAGTGAACATGAAAAAGTTCCTGCAATTTTTGAATTTACATTCTAGTAAGGAACAGAGTAAAAAATTAATATATATGTTCTGGTAGTAAAAGGGGCTATGAAGAAAAATAGAGTAAAAGACTATACTGATGTAATTCCTGAGGAGCTGACTTTTGAGAAAAGAAGTGAAAGAACAAATCATGTGATTCTAATGAGGTGGAGCATTTTACTCAGAGGGAAAAAAATACACAAAAGCCCGAAAGTATGGGAGTGTGTATTCAAGGAGACTAATGTGGCCAGATTTATATAAGTGGAATGTAGAGTCAGGGCAAATGAGTGTTAGGGAAGTAATGAAAACTCAAATTATGTCTGTATTTCTTTAGTTTTCAGTGTAGATGGGAGCAACTATGCAGTTTTGAGTCTCTCCTTTTTGCCAGGCTCTGTGGTAGGCATTGGGGATATTGAGATTGAGATATTGCCTTGGTCATCTAGTCGGGACAGGGACATTCCTGGGAAAGGGAACAGTGTGAGCAAAATCATGGAGGAATAGAAAATAAGGCCCATGAGGGGTAGTAGAAAGGGATTTCACTTTGAGGAACAAGAAAAATAGATATGTGGTACAAATAAGCCAGAGCAGGCAAGAGTGAGAGCTCTGAAAAATGAGCGTGTCCTTTCCCATGCACAAACTGTTTTGGTGCTCTCTAGTGGCCATGGATACAAGCGAGAGCCCCATTCTAAATAAGGAAACAAGTTGAGAGAGTTTTAGCTACTTTCCAAGGGCACAAAGTGAGGTGCTAGCAGCACTGAACCCAGAACCCAGCTCAGATTCTCACCTCAGAAACCTTTCATCACAACTGGTTTTTTCATTCAGAGAGGTGCCATCATTCTAATGCAGTTTAGTGATTAAGAGTGTGGGCTTTGGAGGGAGTCTGGCTTGGATTCTGCTCCTTTAGACAAATTACTTCCAATTTCTCTGATCTTTGAGTGTAATAATTGTGTATCTCTTATTAGTTTGTTGTATTAGTAGAAAACAGGATGTATATAGTACCTGGGGCACATAGTAATAGTCAAGATAATAAATATCACATATAGCGCTTATAGTGTAATGTGTACTTTCCTAACCACTTCATATATGCTAATTTCAATAATTTACATAGCCGAATAAGGTTAGTAATGTTATTATCCCTATTATGGATAAGGAAATTCAGGTACAATAAGAATAATTAAGTTGTCCAAAATCAATCAGCTTTGTGAGCATAATGGTATATTTTTTTCAAGACATTTTTGCTTGGAGTTACATATGACAAGTACTTACTTGGATGCTACAGTGGGGCCAGATAATACTCAGTAGTCCTCCTGGTCTGATAATCCTCAGTTTAGCAAGTGGTACCTTTTTTTTTTGGTACCGGGGATCGAACTTGGGACCTTGTGCTTTCGAGGCAGGCAGCAGAACCACTGAGCTAAATCCCCAGCCCCTAGTGGTACTTTTAAAAAATATATATATATCCTTGGCATCTTTTTATAGCATTGGCCTCCTTTTATCACTTTCTTTCAATTCATACATATTCAAAGTGGTATATCTTCCTCACCTGCATCAGGTTGGGTGGTGGATTGGCACCACTTAGCTTTCCATCCCTCCAACAATAAAGCCCTGCACAACTCCCTGACCCTAAGGGCAGTTCTATCCCAGCCCTAGAACTCTAGAGGTTCTGTGCTAGTATGTGAGCCCCTCCAGAAGGATTATTTACCTAGATTTTGGATAATCTTGAGGTTAAGCCTTGAGCCTAGAGTTGAAACATTGTTTCTGAACTTCTTTCAAGTTCTATTATTGGAATATAATTCTATTGAGCTTCCCCCCTTCCTTCCCAGCCCTTAGACTAGAAAAATGGTATACTCAAGAACAGTATTTCCAGATGCCCTTTTATATGACATACTACCCTGCCTGGACTGTTTTCCTCTGATTATTTCTGGGGAGATGGAGGGCCCTCTATCTGTAATTTTGCCTTGAATCTTTTGTCTGTAAGGCTGACATCTTAGTGTCAGAATATCAGAGCTGAAACTCTAAAAGATCATTCTCATAGTCCTCATTTAACAACAGGGAAAACTGAGACCCAGGAATAGGAAGTGACTAGCCTTACAGTGACTTGTTTGCCTAGAGATGGCATAATGTAAAATAAGGAGTTGAGTGTACACTTTTGGAACTACAGAGACTAGAGTTGGTTTGTGGATCTGTAGCTAACTGGATGAGCGACCTTGGCTTATCACTTGACCTCTCTGTACTTGTAACTATAAAAAGGGAGCAAGAATATCTACCTCCCAAAGGTATTGTGAGGCCCAGATGAGGTAGAGTAAAAGTATCTAGCACAATGTCTGATCTATAGGTGCTAAAGTAAGATTAATTTGGCATCCTTGGCCACTGTTCTTTCCACTCATAATCACATAGGCCCTAGAACACTCATCCCCGTGTCCCTGGCTGTGGTGTGGTTTGCCCTGTATTTCACGATTTCTGAGCACATCTGTGTTCATCTCTTCCACCTAGATGTATATATTCCTTTAAAACAAGGACCAAGGGTGAATTGGCATCTGACAGATATTAATATCACAGCATACCTGTGACTTTTCAGAGTTTTCATAAACAAGGAGGGAGGACTTAGAAACAATATAGAATTGAATTATCTAGGAGTCAAGTGCCTTGATGCTTCTTTTAAAAAAATCTGACTCTATGTAGCAAAGAAGAGAAGTGGTTAAAGGATTTCTGGATAAAAGACAAAGGAAGCATGTGATAGGGAAGTGACTCATTCAGTCAAGAAATTTTAATGAACTGTGGGGTGAAAGAAAAAAATTATAAGAGGATGATGAGTGGATCCTCTTTCCTTCTTCATCATCTGTTTTCTTACCCTCCACTGTTCCCTTCTACTCATCTGAAAAGCAAAGAGACTTCTACTACTTCAAGCTATGACAGTCCAGAGTCTGGGACAGTCCTGGGAAGTGGGCTTATTTGGCCTCAGAGTGAATGGGTCTTCCCAACTTATGGTGTTGTAAAGCTTTTTGAGGATTCCTGGGAGTTACTGCCTCCCTCTTTCTCCATTAGGCCTTTTCTGGCCTCCTCCCACCCTAGTGTATGCTCAGCTTTGGTTCATCCCTCTTGCCTGGCAGCCTCTCACCATCACATGTCCTTCACAGGGTGAGGATATCCTAGACAGGAGCTCGGAGCTGATCTACACTGGGGAGATGGCCTGGATCTACCAGCCCTATGGCCGCAACCAGCAGCGGGTCTTCTTCCTGTTTGACCACCAGATGGTTCTCTGCAAGAAGGTAACCCTGCCCTCTTCTTCCCTGAGGGAGATAGGCACCTCATGGGGCACCAGCTTCTTCCTCTTCATCATCCCTAAGGTCCCAGTGAAGTAGATAAAACTCCTGGGGATAAAACAGGTAGAAAATCGGCAGCAGTTCTACATCAGGAGCACTGGTGTGGCATGAATATCACAGACAATGGACAATGAAACTGTGAAGTTGGCACATGTTGTCTTGGTATCTTGTTTTACCTTTGATCTCATGATTCTCACACTACTCTTTCTCACTCACTTCACCCAGAGATGATAGCTAGCTAGTTTTTAACCATTTGTTAAAAATATTGTAATATTTCTATGCCATTTGGTAGACAGTAGTTTCCTGTGTGCCTTTTCTCATTTCCATTCTAATGTCTATGGGTACATCACCTCTCCCTGACCTAGAAACTGACAAGGGCCTACAGGACAGGTAGGTATCTTTGTGATGCAGGATTTTCCCCGTGCCTCTACCTATTTCCTACACAAGATACACCAGTTCCCTGCAACTCCCAACTATGTTCTTCCCTACTCTCTCTTCCCTATCATGCATTTAAAGAGAGATCTTGTACTTTTTACTAACCCCTGAATTGTCTGTGAATGTTGGTTTCTTGGAATTTTCTCCTTAGTGAAGAGGGGTAGCATATATGCTTAGCATGGTCCTCCTTGAGGGATCATGATGAGATACTATTCCCCCTATCCTTTTCTCAGGAGAAGTTTAGACCAGTTTTGTCTCTAAGGACTGTCTGTGAAGTATTTGGAACCAGGGAAGCTAAAAGATGAGGGAGAAACCAAAGAATACTTAGAGTGACTTTCCAAATTTGTTGTATTACCCTTATTCTTCCTCCATAATTCAGTCCCTTTGTCCTCTCCCTCGTCCATTAGTGAATGCATCTGAAGAGTGATGCTAAATCATGACATGCCATGTTAAACACTTATTTTTTCTGGATTGGAACAAGGACCACACATTTGCTTTGAGTCCCCTGTTGTGTGTGTGTATCTGTATGTGTATGTGTGCACCTGCATGTGTACCATATCATGCAAAAATGATTATCCATCTGACTTTGACAGTGGAATTAACAAACAAATTGAGCTTGGATTCATATTTCCCCAGTGTTTGTCAATAAGCTCTGAATGCCAGCTCTGGAACCCATAGCTAGCTGGTTAATGAGGATAATAACTACCTCAGTCTGAAGCTGACTCTGGAAGAGAAAGAACTTTTGTAAATCTCAGCAAAACAATATACCTTTTCAGCTCCTCTAGCCCTACCAGATCTTCCACACAATCAGAAGGTAGAACTTTTGAAGGTTAATTTAGGGAATTCTTAGCATATTAGCCATTCACCAACAGGCATGTGCCTATCTTTCCCAATAATGTATGTTATTACTCACAATAATTAGTCACAGAGACAGTAAAGAATTAAAAACTTCATTTTTTTAGAGCCCCTTTCCAGCACTGTTAATTTGAACATCAGCAAAGGCTTCAGTTATTCTAAGTAAAATGTAAAACTGAGTTCTGGAAAGCAGTGGCTATAAAGATAGGGCCAGGAGACAGGTTGCAAAACAGTGAGGTGGTGGTTAGGAATAAAGGGACTGAAACAAAGTAGACTCAGTTTAGGAGCCAAGGGAAAATAGAAGACCAAGATAGAGTGACAAGTCAACACTAAACCAAGTGGGAACCAATGATTAAGAAGAAACCAGAAGTCAAGGGAAAGTTTGTAGGTTCAGGCCAGTCAAGCTGTTTGCATGGGATAAATATGCAACAGGATTGATGAAAACAAGAGAAATATTGTAGCAGTCATAGCTTCATTCACATGGGAGCTTTTATCTAGTGAGAACTGTAGCTTTATTTCCCCACAGCAAAGCCAGGGTAGAGTCTAGGATATAAAGGCTACTAACTCCACCTACCTGGGTCTTCGTTAACTGGCTTCCCAGAGCATAAACAGCTACAGCTTATTTTAAGGTAGCAAATAAGCTACCTTATTTGCAAAGGCCATTAATAATGTTTGTGTTGATGCTACAGTTGAGGATTTTCATTTGATATCTATAACAGTTTTTTTTCTACTTATCAAATGGTAGTAAAAAAAAGTATAAAGAGACATCAAATGGGAGTAAAAAAAAGTATAAAGAGACATCAAATGGGAGTAAAAAAAAATATAAAGAGACAAAATATTTTGTTTGTCAAATTATTTAGGGACCTCTTGCCATTACTATAAAAAACTGTCTTCTTGAAATACAGCTGAGAGAAATGGATAAGGCTTCCCAGAGATAAAGATTCCTTTTGTCAAAGGAAAGGAAGGGCCAAGACTAGAGTGAGGTGAGTCCTTAAGGCTTCACTTCACTCACATCAGGGACACAGTTCAGATGGAGTCCCTAAAACTCAGTAAGTTTTTTACGAGAAAGAAAGGAGGAGGGACAAGCTAAATTGAATGTGACTACTTTAAGCTTTCCAAATGAGCTTACCTTTCAAAAAGGGGAAATAAAGGCCCCTTGCAAGTGGTTATATAAATAATATTTTACGTATAATATTATATTTAATAGCACTGACAAAAATAGCTTCATGAATCTTTTAATCAAAATTAGTTTTCAAAATGTTCAAGACAATTTCAAAGATATATTCAAATAAAAAAAATAAGTGATAGTCTGACGGTCCCCTGCCTGAGCAGATGGTTTAGTGTTAACAGAGGAACACAAATTCCTTAGCTGTCAAGGCAAAGAGAGGATAAGTCTGACAAAAAGAGAACAGAAGCACAAAGGATTTGAGGTTATAATAAAGCACATCAGTACTCTGAGTTATTTTTTGAGTTCCTACCCTGTTCCTTAGCTGTCAAGGCAAAGAGAGGGTAAGTCTGACTAAAAGAGAACTAAAGCACAAAGGATCTGAGGTTATAATAAAGCATATCAATACTCTGAATTATTTGAGTACTTACCCTGTACCAGCCAGACCTGCCTTTATAAGCCTTGTTGTCTAATAAAATTTAAATATGGTGTAATTTTAAGATAAGCATGCCTGGGCATTTAAATAACTCACATGTTTTCAATGGAATTGCTGTAGGTAAATTTGGCAGAATTACGGGTAACCGTTTGTGAATATTTGGAAAGAGATGCAGTGACCATGATGTCTCAGCGTTGGTTTCCTAAAAGCAAGTTATGTCCCACAAAGCATCATTCCTTCTTTTTGCTAATAATTAGATTAGCTGATGGAAAGATTGAAGTGGACAGAAAGTATCTGGATTTCATTCTGGCATTTCACATTCTCCCATGATTTCCTTGCAGAGAGAAGAAATGTGAAATAATAGGTAAAGCATTAACTTTGCAGTCAGAGAATTGTGCAGATCCTGATTACAGTACCCACTGTGTTATTTCAAGCAAGTGACTTAATTTCCTATGCTTCCATTATATCTTTCATAAAATAAAGAGGATATTCTACAGGTGGGTTACAAACAATAAATGAAACCTGTCACAGTTCATGACTGTGGCATGGTGCAAAGGATGAGAGATTATGTGGAGTCCATGTCTCATTCAAACTCCAAGAAGGCCCAGAGAGGCTGCCCTTAACCATGACCGTTCAGCATGAGGGTCTCATAAAGATAGTGCTGAACAGAATCTTCTGTGGCTTTTTGTTGATAGAACCAAGAAGCAAGGATAAAGGAAAAAAGAAAGTTGTCTGTGCAGGAATTCGTGTAGGGGACAGGGGAAGAACAGGGTAAGGTCAGGGTAGTCTGTTACACGACTGACCTTAGGGCCAATCTAAGTAAAAAATCAGAGTATGGGGAGGACCAGGGCCAGAACATTCATTTCTTAAGGCAATGTGTTTTGATCCTACTTGGACTTGTGGCTTTGTAGGCTATCTTTTAATCTCTAACCATGCATTCTAAGAGGTTTGGGGCTTACGTACCTAAAAGTCCCTTATCTTTGCATACCTCTGGCTAATGTCCCCACAGAAATCAATGCACATAAAATGCCTGTTAGAGTGCCTAGCATGTAGTAGTTCATTAATCTTCCCCTGCCTCCAACAAGAAATAGTCTATAGGGTACTAAAGTCCCCATTACTAGTTGTACCCAAATATGGACTAGAAGATTACCTGCCAGAGATGGCATAGGAGACACTGAAATACTCTTATCTGATCTCTATCCAAGATCATGTGGTCCAAGCCTAAATTCCCATCCAGCTGATAAGAGTCTCTCACTCAGGTATGCAAAAAACTTACCCATTTTGTATATTGGGAGTTGAAATTGAATAAGCCTGTCACAGCAACTTGAAAAGCTTTTGAAGTTTGTACCTTATTTCTGTGTGACTCTGTGTGTGACTCTGTGTGTGTGTGTGAAGATACTTTTAAAATGACAATTATAGTATGTGAGAAAACATCAGTGGCTTATAATTATGTGACCCCCTTTAATTTTGGCTGTGCATTCTTTCCTCATCACTTTTTTTTTGTTGTTAAATTCTTTTATTGGTACATTTTAGGTATACAACACAATTACATTTCTCATTGGGAATTGTACCTTTACATAATGCATCTTGGTTCTTATTTTTTCCCCATTCCTAGCCCTCCCTTCACCCCCTCCACCCTTCCCTATTTACAAAGACTTTATTTCCATTTTTTCCATTTCTCATCATTTTTCCTTTCCCTTCTTTCCTTTCCCCTGACCCTCCCACTATCTCTACCCCTTTGGACCTTTTCTTCCTATTTTGCATTATCGATTATTCATTCTAATCATTGGTACATTTTAGGTATACAATATAATGACATTCATCATTGGAAATTTGCACCTTTACATAGTCTCTCTTGGTTCTTATTTTTCACCCTTGCCCAGCCCTCCCTTCCACCCCTCCATTCCTCCCTATTTACAAAGATTTTCTTCCTATTTTTCCATTTTCTCATATTAATCCCATTCCCTTCTATCCTTTCCCCTAGCCCTCCCACTTCCTTCCCCTTTGCCCCTTTTCTTCCTCTTTCACATTACCTATTATACATTTTAGTCCTTATGTACACTTTCAGTTTCTCACACCAGAGAAACTATTTGGTATTTATACATGATCATCACTTTTCTTTTGAAAAATCCAGATAACCTTTTTCTCCTTATCCTCTGTGCTGGCTGTCTTATTACCTTGTCATTTTGTTTTGCACATTTTACTATTTTCTTCCTGATATGAATATTTTTAATTGTTTTGATGGCTTGAGAGGACTCCCCTTTCCTTTTTCTCTTATACAATTTACTGTGAGAGTATTTCCTCCTTTCCTCACCACCCATTATGTTCCTATAGCACTATATTTGCCTCAAAGTGACATTTTTCTGCCTCCTCTGCCCTCAATTGTGCCAGTCTGGACATGCTTCCTTTTCCCCTGTGTCACAACTGCCCTAAATTTCTGTTGCTTTTACCATATTCTGAGGAATTATAACTAAATAGCATGTAATAATGTTGGACAGAGCATATTTAGGGAAAGTTTTGCATTTATACCATTTCTTCATACACCAAAGGTTCAGATTGGGATGACAAACCATTTGGGGCCCTTCCCAATTACAACAGTAGGAACAAGAAATGAGAATAGAGCAGAAAGAAGGTAAAAATTCAAAATCAGAATACCTAGGTACTAGACTCTATCTATTACTAATTTATCGAAATTTAGGCCAGATTTTAAGCTTTGTATTCTTCTCACTGTCAAATCAGACTGATGATATAATTCATCTCAGAAACCTCTGAAAAAGAACCACCTGAGATACAACACAGTAATGGAGTATAATATTAAGAACATGGGTAACAGGGCCATACTAGACAGCATTATCCCCCCTTCTCCCATGGGCTATCTGATACTGGGAAAACTCCTGTGCCAATAATTATCCCCTCATTTGCAAAATAAAAAACATAATAATATCTATAAGGAAGGATATTATGAGCATTAAATGAGACAGTGCAGGTATAATGCATGGCACATAGTAAATACTTTGAAAGTTTTAGCTATTTATACTGTATGTGTCTTTTTTTTGGTACTGGGGATCGAACTCGGGACCTTGCGCTTGCGAGGCAGGCGCCAGAACCACTGAGCTAAATCCCCGGCCCAGCTATTTATACTGTTACACTATACACAGTGGTACTGATCATTATTTCAGCAAATTTGTATTAGAAGGGAGAGTAGCACATTGGTTAAATAAAAGCACAGATTTTGGAGCCATATATCACAGACTCAAAGTTCAACTCTGCCACTTCACAGCTTTTATTCCTGGGTAAGTTTCTTAATTGCTGTATGTCTATGGTCCTCATCAAATGGAATTATAATAGTGCCAACTTTGTAAGATTGTTGTGAGCATTATTTAATAAATGCAAAGCACTTAGAATAGAACCTGGCTAATATATACTGTTTAAGTGTTTGCTGTTGTTATTATTGTTCTTATTTTGTTTTAAGTATGTATTATAGATACTGTAATAAAGTGACCAAGATAAATTCAGCCCTGGCTTCAGATGCCTTCCCCTAGAGGAAAAATTGGAGTGTTCCAGATCTTCTAAAGTAGCAGAGAAGATCTTAACGACAGAAAAAAGAGAAGCAGACTGCAATCTTGAACAGTTGTATTCTCTAGATTGCAGGATCCATCATTTCTACAAAGTGTCCTGTGATGTCTTACTAGACCATAGGAATACCTAGTAAAGCCAAATTGAAATAGCTTAAAGCTTTTTAAATTATGCAATGTCAGGGCAGAAGGCAGGATCCTTACTGGAGACACAGGCTAGGACTAGGGCCTAGGTGTCTGTCTGAAGACTGCCAAGACCCTCCTGGTGAAGCACTTCCTTTTCCTTAATATTCTCCAACATGGATAAGTGTAAAGAAAAAAGAAGAAAGGCTGGAATCTTATTAGAAATAATAACTTCATTAGGCAGGGGAGCTGTGATGGTCCAAATAGCATCTGCTTAGGGTACATACTCACCATGTCCCTGTGAAGGCACTAAGACCAACATTAATAAGTAGTATGTGGCCACCCCAGTTCCAATAGGACCACAAGCAACCAGGTCCCGGGAAGGCTTTGTTCCTTTGCCATGCAGAAGACCAGAGAAACCTCTGGGACAATCCTTGACTGAGGCAATATCAAAGAAGTCAGAATGGTGGACATAGCCTAAATGAGTAGATAAAAGAAAAGTCTTGGAACAGTATAGTGGTTTAGTGTCAGGTGTGTAGTCTATAAGGGCCATCTTTGGAGAAGGGAAGCCATATCAGCTTGAGCTGGAAAGTACAGTCAGAGGAGGCTTCTTTGGGGCAGAAGAAAATGCGAATTTGACTTTGGAGGCTAGAAAGATTGAAATAGGAGATATGGCTGGGGCAGGGAGGACACATTATAAAGCAAAGTAGCTCTGTGATTTTGATGAATGAGTGACAGATGCCACTTACCAAATACCCTCATCCTGAAGGAGTGTGTAGAGTTCCAAGAGTAGGGTACTATGTAAATTGAAAAATATTCAGAGTTACTTTTGCCTTGACTTATAATTTACTCATGATATTTGAAAATGGTAAAGGAAGCTTGATGCCGGGATTAGCCAAGGATCAGAACCCATCTGTAGTCCCTCTTTATATACACAATAATTATGACAGGGAAAAAGAACAGCTTGATGATTTTTTTTGTAAGGCAATTCAACAGTGCCTGTATTTCCCAATCTGGGGCTTTGAGATTAGAAGAGCTATGTTGAGAATCCTTCAAGATCGCATTCTTTAGCCATACTGAAAAGCCTAGTGTCTTCCATAGGAAAGAGTTAGGATTGGGGATGTGAGTAGCCAGAGGCAGATAGATCCTTCACAGGTTTTTGAAAGCTGAAAAGTAAAGCATGTCAAACAATTCAAAAGAATGAGAATAATTTAATAAAAATGTATTATTAGGTGTAATTGAAAAAATAGGGCTAAAGTTGAGATTTTTTAAAAATTTTATTACAGTAAAAGACACATTGCCATTAATCCCCCCCAAAATACCCCCCTCTTGCTTTGAATACACTTATTCTATGATTCTTGCCACTTTCTGAAGCAGCTCTTTAATTCCTTTTTCATGAATGTCTAGTTGCATTGTCGTGTCTTCCTCGATGTCCTGAATCAATTCAAAACCTTTCATGACCTTTATGAGGTGTAATTGAAAAACTAAGGTCATAAAATGACCTTTCATGGTCATTTTAACATTGGGGAAGAGCCAGAAGTCATATGATACCAGATCTAGTGAATAAGGTGGATGAAAACATTGTAATGTTTTTACAAGCCTGTATCCATTAGGTGCAATCAGCAGCAGTATTCACAATATTTTTGCTCGCACCTGGTAAAACACAAAAGAGGAATTCCAGAAATGTTTAAGAATGTGCCAAGAACAATGGGATAAGTGTGTCCAAAGTGAAATTGAGTATTTTGAGGGGGAATTTAATGGCAATTTGTCTATTACTCTAATACATTTTTTAAAATTTCAATATTTGCCATATATTGCTATCACACCTTCTATGTTAAATAAAAATCAAGATGTGTTTCTGACTCTGTCAGCCTGACTGAAAGGCCAGATATAAGCAAGGAGAAGGGAGAATTGGCCAGAAAGCAACCCAGTTACTAAGAGAGTGTCTGTCAGGACAGAGCTCACAGGGACCATCTTCAGCTATATCACATGTCCTAGCAGTAGATAATGCTCTCAGAGGATGGGAGCAAGTACCGTGAGAAGGAGGGATTAAAAGGCCACTGTGGGAGATTTATTAGAGCTCATATCCCATAGGCCTATATGTCATTCCATCTATACCTCTATTTTCTTTTTTATCTTATGAAATATGAAATACCATATTTGACATTCATGAAAATATAAAAATAATATAATGTACACTCATGTACTTACTATCCAACGTAAGAACTAATACATTACAAATGCATTCTTCTCTCTGTTTGCCTTCTCTTCTTTTCCTTCCTCACTCACCGCTTCCCATTTTCTGCATGGTATTCTCTTGAATGTAGCACACATTGTCAAATACTGCTTTATAATTTTTGTGCACAATATGCATCTTTAAACATTATGTAGCATTGTTTTATATGTTTTTAAGTGAAAGAGATATGAATGAGATAAAACTATACAAGAAGGAAACTAGGGGAATGATAAATATGAAATTTAGGATGGAGGAAACTTTGAGGTCATAAAATTTGGATTGGATAGTGGGTTTACCAGTTTTCTTACATTATTAAAAATGCAAATAAGTTAATAAATAGAAAAATAAGAGTATTATCCATGTACTAATGATGGAGTATCTTCTTGACTGGAATTTGCATCAGTCCATTTCTGTGTATATGAGAGCAAAACAATAACACAAAAGCAATATGTTGTTTGTATCCTTCTACAGTTTTGCTTTTCTCACATAATATTTATGAGATTCATCTATGCTGATATGTGAACCTCTTCTTTATTCAATACAGTATTAACACATTTTTTTCTTGCTACACTAGGCCTATTCTAAAAATCCCAAGTGCTGAGTGTTAGAACTACCCCCAAGTAATTTTCCCTGCCTAGTAGTCTGTGGCCTCCCAGCTACTCTTACATTCAACTCCTCCTCTGATAGTGTGGTCTCACTGGCTTGTTTGGGTTTCTCACTGCATTCCAGACTACAAGTCAGCTCATTTCATGCTTTTGGTAGGTTCACCAGTGTTATAGAAGAGAAAAAGCTCCTGTTACCAGTACTTTTGTGGCATACTGTTTCCTGTTTCCCATGAGAACGCTTGTAAACCCACCCAAGAATTGATGCTGGGGTTTGAGAGTCTTTGTGTATGGTACATATTTTAGGGGACCTAATCGAATTTGCCTAAATTTAGAACTTAACAAGCCTTGTGGGTACTCCAAAACAATGGCAATGTTTGTGTCCTGCTTCACCCCATATATCGGCTCTTCTGGTACTCACTTTCACATACCTCCAACTAAGCCTTCTCTTCCTTCTCATCTAGGACTTAATCCGGAGAGATATCCTGTACTACAAAGGCCGTATTGACATGGATAAATATGAGGTAATTGATATTGAAGATGGCAGAGATGATGACTTTAATGTAAGCATGAAGAATGCTTTCAAGCTTCACAACAAGGAGACAGAAGAAGTACATCTGTTCTTTGCCAAGAAACTGGAGGAGAAAATACGTTGGCTCAGGGCTTTCAGAGAAGAGAGGAAAATGGTACAGGAAGACGAAAAAATCGGTAAGTGACCTGAGAGGAAAAAGAATATGACTATGAAGAATGTAGAGAGGTTTGAATTATTTTCATTTTTCTAGAATCAGAGGGAAGATTTCTGTTGCAAACTGACTTGAGCCACTTTGGTGATTCCTTATTAATTCCTCATAAATACCAGTAGCTTCCATTAGTCAGGGGTAGGTGGGAATTATAGTTTGGACTTTTCTAAAATCTCATTACCATGAAAGAGTATTCCACAGAAAGCCAACTTTAGATTTGATTCTCACAAATATTTATTAGTAGACAAACACAAAATCAGTCACATATCCTGTTCTGTAGTCTCTATGATGCCCCAGCTTTCTGTCTTTAGGTACATGGTAGTATCTTCTGTGTAAGAGTTAGTCAGGGCTGATTTGGTAGAATTATATTGGTAAGATTCAATCAATTTTCCTCTTTTCCTAACTTTTTTCATTTTGTTTTGTAGTACTGGTGTTATTGAATCAAGTATCTAGTGAATGCTGGCAAGTACTCTACCGCTGTGCTACATCCTTGCCCCTTAGCCAACTTTCTATTCAGAGCCTGGTGTCACAATCTTAATGAGTACGAAGACAAAGGATCTGTTCTTAATCACAAACTTCAGGTGTCCTTCTGAAGGGGATAGGCTATGAGGCTCACTAGATTCTTATATAAAATGCTTGTAAGAGCTAATGTGCTTATGAAACATTATTGGCTAGTACATGTATTTAGTAGCATTCATTTTAACAAGAAGAATTCATGTCTAACATATGGTAGGCTAATTAAGTTCTCTTCATTAAGGTGGCTTGACTTCTGGTAGTATTGGCATCTGGAGCAAAGGCTTTTGAGTATTTAACATATTAACAAATCATCTTTGGAGTATATATACCCAATTAGCATACTGCAGATATTATCTTAATGTCCCTAGACTATATATTAAAATTATATGCATATATTGTGTGGAACTATTTTAAAGTAAATTATAGAAAATATAACAGTGTCTAAAACCATGACCGTGTATATGGTTTACATTGGCTTGGAAGAGAATGTTTACCTTTTACTGCGGGATATAGCTATAAGTATTTTTTTGTTTGTTTGTTTTGTTTTGGGTTTTTTTGGTGCCGGCGATCGAACTTGGGTCCTTGCGCTTGCGCAGCAAGCAGAGCTAGAAGTATTTTTATGCTACTTTTAAACTGTGAGATTTAGATCTCATCAGTGTAGCTTTGTTGTTTATAAAGTACATCTCTTGTTCATGGTCCCATTTCAGTCATTAAAAATACCAAGCAATCAACCTTTGTGATTTCCTGAGAAGATATGCAATTTCTGTCTTTGCCTTAACCAGACAAGAATAGAATTGTACCTTAAGAAGCTAGTATACACAAGTTGGTACAAACTCCCTCTACAAAAATAGGCCTGCCCGTTGACTCCTTATGCAAAAGTATTCTCCTCTCCTTACATGTTGGGGATTGAAATGGTCAGAAAAAACTACTGAAAAACACATTGATCCTAGACTTCTCCAGAGTGCACATTGATACTCCCTTTGAGTCTCATTATTAGTCAGATTGCTTTTAGCATATGGGCACTGCATTAAGACATAGTGTGAAGTGGTATGGAAATGTTGCTAGCCATTTCTCCCAGTGATAGACATCAGCAGCAACTGACCCACTCTAGGTTGTTATATTAAAGGAATGGTCTTTGAGTGCAGACTTTGAATCAATTAGAAGTCCCCTGCCGTTCTTTCTGGCTCCAAAATCATGTCCCCCAACCCAATGCCCTAATAAAATGTAGTAAAAAATCTGCTTCTAATAGGAAAACTTCTAGAAATTATCTTCTGACAGGCCTATGTTCATCTTTTAAAATATTAAGGTTTTGTGGGGGGGGGGGTTCTGTCTGATTATATGATTAGTAAATCAGTTTCATTGTAGGATTCTTGGGAGAATAAAAAACAGAAAAATATATGAAATAAAGGTAAAGATCACACAACACAGTAAACTTTTGTAAACATTTTGATATATTTCTTTCTAGTCTTTGTTTTCTGTGTTTAAATTTTTGAAAAAAACAACTAAATCTTACTGTTTCTCTACCCAGCCATTTCTCTGTGGTGCATAGATATAAATCTGTATTCTCATTTTTACTACATATTATATCATTAACATTTTCACCAATTTAATATTTAATCATTATTTTAATGGCTGTTATCGATTTACCATAATTTTATTTTTTAATTTTTACTTTTTAATTATAAAATTAGTACATGACCAACAGAACCATTTAAATCCATATAGAAATGTATAAAGAACATTTAGCATTCTTTCCCCTTCTTTGTCACTCCTATTCCTCTGTGAAATAATGAATATTAACAGTTTGGCATAACTCTTTCCATACTTATCCCATGCTCATGTAAACATGTATACACATTAATTTACAAAATTCTACATACTGCTCTGCAACTTTCTTTTTTGTAAACCTAATTTATCTTAAGTCTTCAGGTAAAGAATAAAGAATCTAGTTGTAACTCTTTGCCTCAGTCAGGCTTCTGCCAAGAACCATAACCAGTAGGAAATCTTTAACTACTAAGAAATTGGCCCATGTGATTGCAGAGGCTGGCTAAGTCAATCTAAAGTCTGTAGGTCCAACAGTCAAAAATGGAAGTTCATGGGTAGGCTCAAACCCAAGGACAGGGGACAAATTTCTAAATCTTAAGTGCATCTTATAAAGTGTCCTTTTAAATTCACTTTTACATAATTTGTTATTTCACCTCTTGATTTGGGAATTATTCAAAAAACTATTATTTCAAGTGTTTGATCTGAAAATTCTAATGATACTTTATTTAAACATTCTCTATTTAACCTATGTTCTCTCATAGCCTATGTTCTCAAGTTTTTGCTCCTGTATTCTGTGATCTGCATCTTAGTAGCTAAGTTTGGTTTTAGCTTTATTTTCATTGACACAATATTTCTACATATTTATGAAGTACTATGTGATGTTTGATTCATATATATTTGGGTAATGATCAACTACCTGGTAACTAGTGTATTCTTCATTTTAATCTTTTATTATTTATGGTGAGTACATTCAAAGTTCTCTCTTCTGAGTATTTTGATACATACATTGCATTATTGTTAACACTATTTACCCTATTATGCCATAGAACACAAGACTTATTCTTCCTATCTAATTGTAACATTGTACTCACTGAACAACCTCTCCACATCCTCCCTCCTCCCTGCTCTGCCCAATGTCTGGTAACTGTTTTTCTCCTCCCAGCTTCTATGAGCTCAACTTTTTAAGATATAAGTGAAATAATACATTGTTTGTCTTTCTGTGCCTGGAATATTTTACTTAACATAAGGTCCTCCAGGTTTAGCCATTTTGTCAAAAATGACAGAATTTCATGCTTTGTTAAATAGCTGAATAGTGTTCCATTACATATAGATCAAATTTTCTTTAACTGTTCAGTCCCTGACAGACATTTAGGTTGGCTCCATATCCTGGCTATTGTGAATAATGCTGCAATAAACAGAGTGCTGGTGTCTCTTTGATGTGTAAACCAAAAATATTCTTCATATCAAGAGAAACAATCAACAGAGGCAAAAGGCAACCTACAGAACAGGAGAAAATATTTGTCAATTCTACAACTAACAAAGCATTTATATCCAGAATATATAAGGAGTTCAATTCAAATACATTATAATCCAATTAACAATGAACTAAAAATCCAAACAGATGTTTCTGAAGAGATCTTTCAATTACCTATAAATATATGAAAAATGTTCAACGTCACTAATAATCAGAGAAATGCAAATCAGAATGACAGTGAAATATCACCTCACCCCAGTTTGAATGGTTATTATCTAAATAAAAATAACAAATACTGTCAAGGTTGCAGAGAAAGGGAACTCTTTTTTAAAAATAATTTTATTGGTATACTCTTGACATACATAATGATCACATTTATCATAAGGCATTAGTACCTGTACATAATATATCTTAATTCTTTTTTTCCCCATTCCTCTTTCTTCCCTTCAATTCTTCTGCCTCTCTCGCTTTACAAAACTTTGTTTCTATTGTTTCCTTTCCATTCTTTTTTATTTTTTAATCTCTATTCCCTCCCTCTTGTTCTCCTTCCCATTTGAACACTGTTTTCCTACTTCTCAATATCAATCTATTTTGGTCCTTATTTATTCTTTGGATTTCTTACACAAGAGAAACAATGTGATATTTAAACATGTGTGTCTGATTTATTTCACTTAAAATTATGTTCTCAAGGTGCATCCATTTACCTAAAAGTGCCTCAAGTTTATCCTTCTTTTTGGCAGTGTAATACTCCATTGTATATAAAAACCGTACGAGAAAGGGAATTCTTTTACATTGTTTGTAGGAATGTAAATTAGTGTTGCCATTACAGAAAACATTATGGAAGTTCCTCAAAAAACTAAAAATAGAACTGCCTTATGGTCCATCAACCCTACTTTTGGGCATATACCCAAAGAAAATGTAGCTAAGACTTTAATCCAAGTTTTTAATAAATTTCCTTAGTGAAATTCCTAGAAAGGAATTACTGGGCCATGGGCAGTGACCTTCTTGTATTTCAAAACTTTCAATACACTTTACTAAGTCTTTTTTCCAGAAAAACTCTACTAATGTATACATCAAGAAAGAGTATATGTTTATTCTAACAAAGTCCTGTATTTTTTTTTCCTTAGGCTTTGAAATTTCTGAAAACCAGAAGAGGCAGGCTGCAATGACTGTGAGAAAAGTCCCTAAACAAAAAGGTAAATCTACTTTTATCCCTTCAACCCCACTTGTTTTCTGTGTGAGACTAGAAAGCCATAAACTATGTGCTTTCATATTTCTCGGCTCTTTTCCATGCTGGTGTTCACTTGGAGTTCTGGGATAGTTCTCAGCTCCCCAGGTGTCCCTGAAAACAGGAAGCAAATGGTCATAAAGGGTTAATGCTCAGGAGTGAATGGTATTGGGTAGCTATGTCCAAAGATAGCTCATTGTGTACAAGCACAAAATAAAACCTTGTAATAAATTCTCTTTATTTTTATTTCAAATTAGAGAAACATTACTAATAAAGACAGAAAACAGTAAATATATATAATTTATTAAGTATAAATATATAGGGATATATGTGTTCAGCTGTCCTTCACTGGCCTGAGGGCACTTGCCAAATCAGAAGACCCCAATCAAAATGGAGAACCTCAAACTGAACCAAAACAGAAGATTCAGACAGTCTTTATTTCTTCAAACCATAAACCAAAGTGCCTTAAGGTAAATACATAGAGAATCAATTTAATATGAAATGAAGCTTTATTTTCTCTTTTTCATGAACTAGAACAAAACTAAAATACTCAGCTGAGCAAAAGGAAGGAGTTACCTTGTGTTTACTACAATGTCTATCTAGTATTGGTCTCTTTATATAAATTTTTTCATTTCGTCTTTGTGCTAATCATAAGAAGGTGAGCACTATTAGCCCCATTTTTCAAATTAAAAAATCTGAGACTATTCACAGTGAAGTGACACTGAAACAAAATTGGCTTGACTCTAAGCCCACTACTTTCTCCTCTCCAATTCATAATCCTTTTGATGCCTCTTGTAGGGAAAAAAAGAGCTCACTTTACTCTCTCACATCAATTACTGATAGCTATTTCTATTACTGACAGCTGTTTTCACTGTCGCCAGAAGTCGGACCTCTTAGACCTCACTTTAACTGCTTATTAATTTTTACTCTTCTTGGGCCTTCACTGGATCATCCTTCACTGTGGCAATATGATTTGCCTTAGATAGGGAATAAAGCCAGCCACCCCTAACCTTTTCCTTATGTTTGTTTGGGGTTTTTTTGTTTGTTTTTTTTTTTTGTAACGGGAATTGAACTCTGGACCTTATGCTTGCGAAGCAGGTGGCAGAACCACTGAGCTAAATCCCAGCCCACCTTTTCCTTATGTGAGAGACAGAATTACAAAGCAACATGGAGTTAACCTATGGAGGTCTAGGGTCATGAGTTACCCCCTAACAATATGTAAGAAGTTTCTATCTTTCAGATCAGCTGTGACCTCTGAAGAGTTAATGTCAGTAGAGAACTGATCTGTATTAACAGAACTCTGTGAGTGAATGTCACTTTCCCCAGATGGAGATGTGAGCAGAAATGAGCCCTAGCCAGCTAAAGAGTCCTCATGCTGCAAGACTGATACTGCCCTAGCAGCCTGCCTCTATCTCCTGGAGGCTCTCATCTCCTGAGCTTCTCTTACCTTGATTCCCTTCACTACCCCTAACACGCTGATTCCCATGATGGAATGATGCTTGTTGATCCCAGCCCAGGTACCTTCAAGAGTGTCTTCTACAGGCTAGTCTTTTCACTGAGTATATTTCAAACAGGAACATCCACAACGTGACCACTCAGAAGATAGTCCTGATAGCTCATGCCAAACCTTTAAGGTAGTTCCTTTTCTCACCCTGTCTAGTCTCTAGGCTATCCCTTTTAGATCCACTATTGTCTGTTAGTGTCTGAACAGCTTTCTTATCTTAAAAACAATTCCAAAATCGTTTTAAAAACTCATATAGTTTTAAATTTCCCAGAAGTCCTATGAATCTCCCCTCATATTTCTGTTTCTGATCTTAAAGAGCAGGGCTGTGGTGATTTATATGTTTCTGAGACTCAAGAGGGTCATACATGTGGAAGCATTTATCAAACAGTAATTCAGTAGTTATAGCATGTTCATGTGGAGAGCATGAAGAGGTTGTTTCAGACATCCACAGAAGCTAACTTCCTTAATCCTTCTAACAGCACATCCCTAGAAATGATGGAGAGGTTTTGTTAAAATTTCACCAATGTAGATGTTGTTGGTTGGGTAGTTACTCTAGTGTCCGCTCCCAACTCCATCTAAAACACCATGGGACATTATCAACTCAGGCTACTGCCCTGGGGAAGGGGATACCTGGCTGGGAAAATAGCAGAAAGAAACCAGTCTAGCTCTAAGAAAGGCCTTTCCACTTTACCTTTGCCTTTCACACTCCCTTGCTTTTAAGAATTATATATAACTTCTTGGGACTAAGACGCTAATTCCTGGTTCACCAACCCAATTGAGTTTGTCACCACAGAGCTCCCCAGGGCCATGAGCACAGGCTCCACCTCTAGAGGCTTTAGGGCTAGCTCAAAATTAAGTGAATCCCCCATAATTACTAAAACAGTTTTGAAAAAGAAAATGGGATTAATAAATTTATGCAATTTCAACATTTATTATGTAGCTATAGTAATCAAGGCAATGTGATTTTGGCAGAAGGAAATACATATTGGATCATGGGACAGAACTCAGAAATAGACCTACACGAATATGTCTAATTTTTTACAAATACATGAACACAATTCAGTAAAGAAAGAGGCCTTTTCAACAAATGGTGCTGAAGCAGTTGGACTTCCATGGGGAAAAACATCCTCAGCCTAAACCCATACTCTGTTCAAATGGTAAATAAAAATTGACCATAGTATTGAATATACAACTTCAGAACTCTTAGAAAAAAATATCTTCAGGATCTAGGGTTAGGCAGAGGAATTCTTAAATTTGACACCAAAAGCTTGAAGAACAAAATAAAATATCAATAACATGGACCTCCTTCCATAATATTTCCATGTTATTGCTTAGCATACCCTCATATTTCTGATACCTGCTACCTTTCAAAACTGGCTCTTAGAAGAGAATCTGATCCTTCCCATTGAGGAGCCAATGGCTGATAATAGCTTAATATGATACTGCCTCCAGAGTAATGGGATCAAATCATCAAAAGTAAAGAAGCTCTAATGTTAGAATTTCAGACACTGGCTGGCTGATGAGGAAAGTATTTGGAAGCAGCAGAGAGACCTTTCTTTCATGTCTGAATCATATGTTTTGTGTCTCATCCTATTCTGCCTTGAATATAAATCAAAATTGAACTTCGACTTTAGCCCTCACCCCTATCCTAGTTCCTGGAATCCTCTCAATGTGGTCTTTTGTTTGATGGTTTCAAACCCAGCCACAAAAATCAAGAAGGTTTTTAATCTTTGAAACTGTTCCTTCCTTTTGAAAAGTCACAGATTTCATGATTCATGTATTCTGGTGACGCTTTTACTTTCTTCCTCAACTACCAATGTTAAGTCCCTCTTAATTGCAGATTTATTGCTTTCAACCCAGGGAAGAACATTAAATCACTTGTGCTTTATGTGTTTTAACAAACCATTTCCAACTACAGACCTGCTTTTAAGTCAATAGTTCTTAACCACACTCTTGACACTTCCAAGGGGTAGTTGGAGAGGGAGAAATCCAAAATCTTCTGGAGTTAAATGGAGCTTGTTGAGTTCTTTGCAGAACCAAAATCAGCTTAAAGGATTATGCTCTCTTCAAAAGAGCTCTGAACTGAGAAGTCAAAGAATGTGAGTTCTAGCTCTTGCTTTGTCATTAACTTATCATGGAATCCAAAGTATGACTTTTATCTCTAGGTTTCAGTATATTCATTTGTAAAATGGCTGATAGTAATATCATAAATTTCTTAGTGATATTGATTTGATAGAGAAGAATGTAATATTTCAGAAAGAGCCATGCCACTTCAAAATCTGTGAGAGAAATGATTTGCAATACAGTTTTGAATAGCCCTTATTCAAATTGCTTGAAATTTCAAATTTCAGAGTTTCTTAGATTTCACAGACATTCCTGACTGAACATTCCTAATCTGAAAGTCTGAATTTTAAAATGTTTGGAAATATATGAAACTTTTTGAATCTAGGAATGCTCAATCTGTACCAGTTCAAACTCTGTAAACTAATCTACCTTGAATTTTCTGCCCAGAGTGGTCACTGGATAATTTGAGAACCCTCTTGGTACTTCACTTATGCCCTTTCTTTTTGGTTTCCTCTCTATAGGTGTCAACTCTGCCCGCTCTGTTCCTCCTTCCTACCCACCACCACAGGACCCGTTAAACCAGGGCCAGTACCTGGTCCCCGACGGCATCGCTCAATCGCAAGTCTTTGAGTTCACCGAACCCAAGCGCAGCCAGTCACCATTCTGGCAAAACTTCAGCAGGTTAACCCCATTCAAAAAATAATACCTACAGGGAGGCAGATAATTTTAAAATAAACTAAATAAAATTATATTTATAGATGGACTTTTTTCGGAGAAACACTGTTGAAAATATATGTGTGTGTATATATACATATATACATATATAGAGACATATATAGACATATGTATACACACAGACCCTTGAGTATATGCACACACACACTTGTGTGGGCATGTACATACATATGTGTGCACATACCACACACATACATACACATACACATACATACACACTCATATACACACAGAGAAGGACCAAAAACGTTTTCTGTTGTTTTTGGTTTGTGAAATCTATAGGTGGTAGGAAGAGGTACAAATGACTTCCAAACATGTGACCCCTTCTTAAAACTTTACAGTTCTTACCCTGTTCCCTTCCTCTTTTCTTTCAGAGATTGACATTTCCATTTGTTCTTTTTCTTGTTAAGATACTCTCTTTGCTCCCATGTGAATGATTCATTGACTTTTTATTATTACCATAGATGCATTTGTATTGGTTTTCTGCTTTCATGATAATAGAGATGATGATGACTTTTGATTTTAATTTGGTGTGGTGGGTTTGGGATTTCTTTCTTTCACTTTTCACCGAGGAAAGGGAAAATCCCCATTTCCTCTCCTTCAGCCAATCATCTGTGAATATTCCTGTAGCCCTGCAGTTTCCCCAGAACAGCCTTTACCCAGCATCCTCTGTCCAAAGTCCTGCTAGTCAGGACATGATCCTTAATGCCATGTGACATAAGTGCTTGGTATTTCTATTGCTTTCTCTGTATTTTAGATGTTGAGGAAGGATACCAAACCAAAAAGAAACAAGGGAGTATCAGAGTATTATGATGCTAAAGAAGAGTTCTGTTCAGGAAATATTTTTCTTTGGACTATTTCTTCTAACTTTTGTGAGTCCTCATGTTGCAGCACTTCTGGGTCATTGCAGTTTTGCATCTGGGGATTAGTTTGGACCAATTAGTCTCTTCAGACTCCCTTTGTTATGAGTCTCCTCTTAGGCCTGGCCTCCCTAGCCCAACAGAAGATCTGAACTGGAAGCAGAGGCTGAGACTCTGTCTCCTAAGGAAGGGATTTATCTCTGGCCCTTCCCAAAGCACCAAGTAGACGTAAAGCAGGGCTCCCTACAGCAAGCAGTTCAGTGTTCTGGTCACCTCTGCTCCCATTTGCAGATTTTTAAGGCAACATTGATAGGAGTCTATGGAGGGATTCAAGCCAGAACCCACCTGACCAAGATCATCAGTTGCCTTCAAATTATTGACCTGAACAGAGTCCAAGGCTGACAGTAAAATAGGCATGGAAAGAAACAACATTGATCCAAGATACAGTACCTCTAGTTCCTACCACCCCAATTAAGTGAATTGTCCCCCATTGTTAGCAGATTGCATGGACAATCTTCCCTGGCTCCCTCCTTTCTTTTTCTCTGTCTTCCTTCTTTCTCTTGCCCTCTTGGCACAGGAGAATTGCTGATGTTGGCATAGTCAAAGCAGTTCTGGCACTGGAAGATTGCCTTGTTTCTAACATCTTCCTATCCCAGAACACTTAAGGCCAGTGAGTGATGGGCCCAGGGGAACATTTCCCTCAGGACAAAGGATCTGAGGCAGAGACACTACCCTCAAGATTATTTTTGCCAGGCTTTCCACTAACTTCTCCCACAAAGAATCAGGATTCCCAATGAGTATAGGAATACCCATTTGTCCTCTGTACATGGCCCTTTCCTTGGTTAGACCTTGAATAGCAAGGAATAGGGTATAAAGAAGTGAGGGTAGGCCCTGCTATAGAAAGCCACTCTAACAAGGGATCGAGATTATGACTCTGTCTTGGATCCCATGGAAGAAGACTTCAGTGTGAAAGGATCCCATTTTACCAGGCAGCTGCCACAGTTCCATGAAGGCTTCAACATAGGTGATTATTTTACTGCTTTGTGCCTCCTGACCCAGACCAGGCCTTGCCTACCCTGGTAAGCTTTCCCCTGTGGAAATCAAATTACAAGCTTTTGAATCTTCCATTCTATCACAGCAAGTCAGAATTGTAAAGTTAAGGGTTAGTGACTTAGCTCAGTGGCACCATGCCTGTGCCTGCCTTGAAAGCACAAGGTCGTGAGTTCAATCCCCCCCAGTACAAAAAACCCCCACAAAAAAACAGAATTGTAAAGTTAAGGCAAGGACAAGCCTGATTTGAATAGAGAACTAGGGCTCAGGTCTGGCCACCATGTGACCTAGCTACTTAAGCTTAGCTACATAAGCCTCCTTGGCAAGGAACCTTGTGCCCAGCACCCAGGTTAAAATTTACCCCCTTGGCAAACAGAGCGTGTTTTAGTGTCTGTGCAGGCCTCTCTTTATTGTATTCCTTTTCCTACTTTCCACTACTCCTCATTAGGCTTAGCTTTGTCTTATTTTCCTAGGGTTGGAAGCACATCAGGAGGGAATGCTTGGAAAAGTCCTTGGGCTTAAAGCATCTCTTGGCCATGCCTTCACATCTACTTACCCTCCCTGGGTCCTTTACCCCTGGGGCTCCAGGGTCAGGGATATCACTCCCCTCTTCTCCTTTACATAATCCAACAGTCTTAGGAGATGCCAGTAATTTGTGAAAATAAGAAATTAGCTCTCCATTGATTGGAATGCCCCCACATAGCAGAAAAGCATACCAGTCAGTGGCCATTAGCCCAAAGGGGAGCCAGGAAGTCAATTCTGGGCTCAGTATCTAAACATGTTGTGTCCCCATAGCAATGCTATCCTCAAGAACTGTATAATTCTTTGTTTCTATGTGGCCCTGAGTTCCCCTTTCCTGAATTCAGTGAGGCCTGGATTTGCTCTTCATATTGCTGGTATGTTTTATGGCCCCCACTATGGGGAAGTCCTAACACAAAAATAAAACTTTTTCTCTCTCTTCTCCCCCTCTGTATATGTCTATATCTTTAATGGATCTATTAAGGACACCAACAAGAGAGTTTTGACAATTCTAATGTGAAAGCAGATAGTGATTTTTTTAGTGCTTTGGGGTAGGGTGGGCTGGGATCAATAGAATAGGCAACAGTGATTTTGATTACCCCTACTGCTCTGCATTTGGCAATTTATTCTTTTGTTTCTACTGTTTGACTGTTTGACCCTTTTAAACAAGTGTCAGAATTGTCTAACAAAAAAAAAGATGTAATGACACAAAGCCTTATGAAGATACTTATGGAGTTCAATAAAAAGTAAAAAAGACACCTTTAGGCACAGCTCTCATGCCATTGTGCGTGTGTGTGCGCTCGTGTGTGTGTGTGTGTGTGTGTGTGTGTGTGTATGCATGCACGCACACATGTGTGTGTGTGTTTTATCAATTGCAAATAAAAAATTTGCCTACTCAGGGCAGCTTACCCCAGCCATTGCTTGCTTATCCATTCCCAGGTATCCCATGGGTTTTCTGTGACTTTACATGTCCTTTCTGGAAGAGTAGACCATAAGAACTGAATTTTAACTTGTAGCCAGGAGTGCTTTGTAGCCTCAAATGTCTTTATGGATGGATTGTCTTTAATTTCACCTGGTACTTTAATAAAATTTAAAGGTCGATTCCTGAGCTTGCTCCTTTTTCTTGAAGCTACAAGTCCAATACTTAACATGGGCATTCATCAGAACTTAAAAGCTGTCATTTGAACCCAGCCAAAGGCCATATCACTGAGGAATCTCTCACTCCAATTTCTTTCCTAAAGCCTTTGGTCCTGCTTCCTCAGAGGTAGATACTTTATCTCTTCCTCAGAGTGGGTGGAGTGACCTTACTGTTTCTTCTGTCATGGTATGGCCTGCATGTACATGGTCCTTGATGTACATGTACATCATGGTCCTTGTACATGTACATGGTCCTGGGTCTCTATGTGGTATCTTTATGCTGGTTTTCAGAGACCCACTAGTGGATCTGTTCTGGCACTGCCTCACTTGCCTTTCTACAGAACAACTGAACACACGGGCCAGGGATTTAGCTCAGTGGTTTCGTAGCCTGCTGTACAAGCACAAGGACCCGAGTTTGATCCCCAGTACCAAAAAAAAAAAAGAACAACTGAACACTGAACACAATAAAGTACTTATTTAATAAAAGGACCTGGATAATTTTTCAAGCTGCAGAACAGGGAGGGGACAGATACTTGTGCTTCTGGGTTAAAGTGTAAGCCCTACCTGTGTAGTTCTTGGAACTTACACACAGACACACTGATTTGGAGAATATGATATTAAAAATCCCCATTCATTAACCTTTCCATTTCTCCATTTTTTGCGTCTCCTTATTTAACCCTTTCCTCTACTGTTATCATCATCCTTTTCTTTTTCCCTAGAGTCTGACATCTCTCCCCACCAAACTCAGGAGGACTCAACTGTTAGCAGACTTTTCTGCATCTTACCAATTTCTAGGTCCCCCAGGTTCCAGGAGCCAATCTCAGTTACCTTCTGCAGAGAACAATAACAGTATCTAATCTGAGGCTTACCTGACTACATGCCAAAAGTATTAGAGGTGGGAAGACAAATGGTAGGGGTCTTACATCCTGGGATACAGCCATTTATCTCCTAAGGTACCTTAAAATTAAACACATCACCAAAAGAATTATTAAACTCTCAATATAGTCTACATAATAAATCCATATTTCTTATTATAAAAGATGACTTTACTACTTACAAAGTTATCTTCTAAACACGTACCTCCTTCCTGCCCTTGCTATTATTACAAAGCACCATATATTCCCTGATGAGAGAGCCACTTGCCTCTCTACTAAGTTTCTAATTTGCCTTCTTTAATTACTGTTTCTCCCCCACCCAACAGAGGATAGTGTGTAAGTGAATTTAAAGTATAATTTTTAAGAGTCCTAGAATGGTGATACCAAACAGGAGGAGGCCACGGGGCCTTAGGCCACACCAAAGTCATTGTGTTGCAGATGATATCTTCTCAATGTGCTTTACTCAGAGTCTTCTGGAGCTCAGTGGTGGAAAGAAGTGTCCTTGTTGTGGATCCAGTTGGCCAGATCTAGAATGGAGAAAGGAGATTCATTGCAACTTACAGAGTTGGCCTCCACCAAGAACAAATCAACCCTGGCCTTTCCGTATATTAAAAGTCTCCTGATGGTGTTTTAGAGGAGGCTTATGGCTTGCCTAAACCTAGTCCTCATATTTGAAATGGCCTTGCCATATAGGGCCCTATTTAGTTCTTATGACAACAATTTGGCAAAGAGTTTATTAATTACATTTAAAGTAAGAGAATAATAGTGGGAGAAAACAATTAGCCAGGATTATCAAGCTTCTGAGTGTCCTTCACCTATCCTCCACTCCTACTGAAACTGACTTTATAGCTCTGCTCTCAGTGTTGCTGGGGTAAGGAGAGGCAAAAACATAGAATAAGGTGAATGAATGTCATCCCCTGTGTACTTCTTGGTAGTCCTGTTTCTTAAGTGTTCTAAATTAGACTTTGAACAGGAAACTGCAGCCACAGATCCTTTTGTCTCTACTACCAAGAATAAGTGGAAGGAAGACTGAGGTCCTTGGTGTGAACTTTGGCTCACTTCAGTGTTTTAGTCACTAAAGCCACCACTGTACTGCATAGTGCATTTGGCTTTTGGACCATTAGGGATTTCCTTATTACTATTGATCTGCTCACTCATGGCTCCCAGAAGCTTCTGTACTGACTAGAATATGGGGCTGATGAGGTAATCTTGCTTCTCCACAACTTTACCTGCAAACCCCAAGATCATAAAATGAGATTTCCCAGTATCCTCCCAAGGCAGGAGGATTGCTATGAGTTTGAGGCCAGCCTAGGCTACTTAGTGAGTTCAAGGTCAGCCTGAACTACATAGTGAGACCCTGTCTCAAAAAAGAGTTATCCAAAAATGTCAAAGCAATTTGTTAAGGCTTTTTCCACAAACCTTCAATCAAAAGTTTACACCCAGAATTTTAAGTATTGAACAATGTCTCAGTGAGAGGACCAAGCGAGAAACTATTTCACAGTAGCAAGGAAAGTGACAAATATCCAAGAAGAGAAATAAAGGAATGACCTTGATAGTGCATCTATGGCAGTTCTATAAATGGCATCCGATCTAGGTTTCTGGAACCACTTGCCTTTTGATGCTAATGTCAACTTCAGTAATCCCCAGGGCTTCACTTATTTCTGAGACCAGTTGCAAATCCAGAGATCCCCAAGATCACTCAGACTCAATAATTTGCTAGAAATGCAGAATACACTTTTAGGCTTACTGCTTACTGCAGCTAAAAAAAAAAAAAAAGCAGATTAGAACTAGAAAACAGAAAAAGGACATAGGGCAGAGTCCAAGAAGGTACCAAATACAAAGCTTCCACCGTCCCCACTTGGTAAAATCTGGATAGTTTTATTTCCCCACCATCAATATCTGACAATATTCATGGGTTATTTCCAAACAAGGACACCCAAGCTTCCAGAGATTTTAGTGGAGCTTCAGCACTGCCCCCTGTGACTGACTGATCACAGTCTCCAGTCTCTTTAAGAGGTGAGCTGATGACAGGTAACCCAAAGCATCCACCCTGAAGCACACCGTGAGTATGGCAAAAAAAAAGCCCAACAAAAGTTATATTGTTAGACTATCAAGTGATCCAAGAACCCAAAGAAAAATACATTCCTGTTGAAATGGAGCCCCTTTAAAATAAAGATTTAAAGAGTTCTTGGTAAGATGCAGGACTAGAAGTAAACTTCATTTGAATCTCCTACTGAGAAGAGTTAAGAGTTAGAAAGGAGAACCTTATTCCAAGAATTTTTTTTAAAAAAGGGAGAGGCCCACAAATCAATAAAGAGGGAACAGGAAAGCTAAAAGGCACAGAGAAAGAAAAAAGATAACAGAAGAAAATATGAAACCATCTGCAAACCCAAATCTGGCTCCTCAAGAGACATCAACCTAACTCTGCAAGCACAAGGTAAGCCCAGAGAGAGCAGGAAGCCCTAGTTGCAAGAGAAACCCATGGTTATTGCAAGCTGTAAATCCAATTGTGGGGACTTAATCTGAAAATAACTCTTACTTCATGGCTTTAAAGAAGAAATCCTCTGCAGCACCTGCCAAATCATGGAATGATTGAACCAGAAACCATCTTGAGAGAAGGTATATTATTTGATACAAAACTATTTCAGGGATTAGCAGTTAGAGAACAGCCACACTTCAAGATCCATGGGGGACACCCTGATGCAATAACTTGGTGGGAGACAGCCACAGAATTGATTATAGAGAGGGGAAAGGATTAGTGACACACAGGGCATCAGAGAAGTTTAAGCAGCAGGGAGCTTGGGCTGTGGAGATGTTACCATAATTTCTGTACAAACCAAACTTGCAGTTCCACAAGTGATGAAGAATGAAATTGCAAACCAAAGGAGGAAGTTATGAGAGTTTTTCTGGAAATAAGAGAAAATTTGTGATAGGTGTTTATCATGGGGTGTTCCAAATGGGGGATCCCTGTCCTGATCTTATATGCATGAGTAGAGCATAGGAAGGGGCTTAAATTCAAAGGAGTTTGGGAGAAAACTGGTTATCTTACATTTGTCTCTCCAGGTCCAATTTGAAACCTAGGGTCTGGAGGCAAGGAGGAGCTGTTAAATCTGTTAGCTACCTTAGCACTCCCTGGATAAGAGTCTTCTTCCTGGAGGGAGGAGTCCTTATCTCTCTATTCTCATCCCAACCTTTTATCCTTTGTTCATGTGTTTTCTTTAACGTTTCTAAGCATAACCATCTGCTTTCTTAATTGACTGCTTGAATTTGCTCTTTTATTGGGCTGGCCCTATTGTTAGGTTTCTCTAACTGCCTGCTCATAATAACTAAACTAAGCTACTACATTCCCACCTCTGAAGAAATGTCCCTAACTGCCATTAGAAGAGAAGGAGTGAAGACCAAATCTGGCTACTTCAAGCTGAGAAGGGTCAATGTAGGAGAGATGGCAGTCAAAGATTTTCTTCAGAGAAATAATGTAAGGAGCCTTCAGTAGAGGTCAAATTGGAGTTCAGCAGCTATGAAATCTCTTTAGAGGATCTAGTGAACCTCAGTAAAAGGAGTCCAGAAAAATCGTTGGTTTCAGATGACCATGACCATGACCATTTGGAGTTTGACAAGTTCTAGCTGAGAAGAAACAAATTTCACTAAGATATTGAGAATGCATGGCCCAAACATAAGTACCAGAATGAAAAGACAAAAGGTGTAATTCGAGGTGTATACTTAAAGAATTGAAATAGGGATTTCAG